TTATACAATTAAATCTGCAATTACAATTAAACCACCTTATTCAATTAACGTCTAGCAAAGAACTGATGATCAGTCGAATTCTTTAAAGTCTTGGTCTCCTGCTCCTTCGGTTCCTCGGCAGTTGCTTTCAGGAAATTCGCATTCGCTAAACGGGCCACTCCCAAAAATCCAACAGCTGAAGGCGGAGGAGAAGAGGATGATCATAAAAACCGGAATTTAGAAGCCAAGAAGAATTTCTCACCTGCTGCTAAGCTCTTCATAGTGTAATTCTCCAGCGGCTTCGGACGCTTCTTCGATTGCGCCAAAAGAAATGCACCGATACCAAGGAGGCCAATTCCACTAACCAAACGACAGCCCAAACAGTCAGCCTCGTTCGAAACGTTGTCTTTGTTCCAAAAAGACAGCCTGCCGATCATTTTTATGTTGTTTTAAAGATTTTTAATTTAGGAATGGATTTACAAAGCAACGAGATTACTATCGATACATTTATTGTGACGCAGGGCTGCCAACTTGTTTCGTGTACAAGCAATTTAGATATTTTTTAAAGATTTGTTTAATTTACTGACATATTGTGAGCTTTATTTAAAATAAAAATAGGCACAAGTAGATATTAAATGTTTTTGCCTTATTTAGAGCTTAAGGAATAATGTGGGTATTTTATAGCTATCACATTTTTTAAATATTTGTTATCGATAGACGGACAAACAGCTGATAAGTTTAAACCGGCTTTGGTTTAGTTTTATTTACTATTCGTTTGCTGCTAAAATGGAATATCAACGAAATGATGCCATGCTAATGGAGATACTCCAGGATAGGAAGACAATTACAGGATTCCTGGACTCCGTTTTTGGCTTCCTGCGGCGCAAGTAAACGTTTTCTACTTATAATCTGTAAACAAAACATAGCTGAACTAAACAAAACTCATATATTTCAGTACCGACTTTTATCATACGAAACGAGATGAATCGGACAAAATTGGCTTTCCCAAGGGCATGAGGGATCAGATTCTATATGGCGCCATGCAGCGCTACGATCCGGACTGCTGGCTCCAAACGATGACCGCTGAAGGAGGAGCTGATGGCGAAACTGCTCCGCCAGCCATTGAAGAAGTGATCCTGGAAAGCGAAGATGTTTCCCAAAATCAAGATAAAAGTCACAGCCAAAACCTGTCTTCACAAAAACAGAATGATTGTTCCACGTTCTCACCCAGCGACTACAAAAATGGAGCTCTTTTCGAAACACACTGCTGGTCTCAAACACTCAAGGATGTGGAGATGCATGTCCAGCTTCCCAAGGATCTTCAAGCGGCAAAAAAACTGAGCATCCTTATCAAGGCCCAGCACATTAAAGTCAGCAGCAAACAGAATCCCGAGATTATAATCCTCGAGGGAAACCTGAGCCAGCGGATCAAACACAACGAGGCTGTGTGGACAATTGACCAGAACCAATTGGTCATTAGTTGTGGTCGGTAACTCCATAATATAATATTTAAAATCTTAAATTATTCTTTATAAATTACCTTCCAGATAAAGCCAAGGAACTGTGGTGGGAGCGTCTCTTTGAAGGCGATCCAGAAATCGATGCCAAGAAAATTGAATGCGAACGATATATAGATGATTTACCGGAGGATACCCAGGCTACCATAGAAAAACTTAGGGCCCAGCAATTATCAGCTGATAAGGAGCAATATAATATCCAGACCTCGAACCCAGAACAAGCTAAAACCCTGGATCGTTTAAAAACTGCCTGGGATGCCGAAGGTTCCCCCTTTAAAGGGCAACCCTTCGATCCTTCTATTGTAAGAATGAGTTAGTTTTTATAATTTATGGACTTAAAACATAAACCAACTAAAGATTAGGTTATATTTTCAACTAAATTAAATTTTCGAGGTAGTTTAAATATTAAATTCGACAAAAATTAAAACATTAACGGAATCCAAGTGTTAGAAAACTCACTTTTAATACAAACTCGAGTCAACTTACAGCTAAATCTTAGTGAGAACATTACGGAGATTAAGTTTACTGAGCCTTCAGTTCGAGTTTCTTGCGCTGCAGCTGGACCTTCTGGTAGGCCACATCCTTGCTATCCGTGGACCAGGCCAGGTACATATAGGTGGTCAGGAGCAGGGCCATCACCAGGCGATCCACGCTCATTACATTGGTGGCGAACAGGATGACCGACAGGCCCACAAAAGAGGGATGCCTCACATGGGCATACAGATTGCGCAGCTCCCCGGATTTGTAGTTAATAGGCGGCCCATAGGCCTTCAGATCGTAGTAGGCCTGCTTGATGCCCAGTAGCTCCGGCAGATCCATCACCAAACTGCCGCCAAAGATCACCAGCCAACAGATTCCATGGGTAATTACAAAGGTCCACCAAAGAGGAGCACTCTGCTCCACGTCGATTTGCCACAGAACAATCGACTGGGCGGGCAGCCAGTTAAGGATCAAATACTGAAATATCCAAAGATAAAGTTATTTGCTATTCTTGCCCAATTCAAGGGTATACAAACATGTAAACAAATCGATGACGTCAGGCTATAAATAGTACGCTCGGCCCCCGACAAACCCAAATTGGCCAGCAGTTTCTTGACCAAGGCTGACTTGAGGAAGCTGTGCTGGAAGATGAATCCGATCAGGTAGAGGGTGTCGAACACCACGGGTCCATAGGCGGTCTCAAGGCGGGACTTGTTGTCCAGCAAATTGAAAATCCAGGTGTGAGCCCTCGAAATCGAACGAGGCGTCGACAGGAAGATCATCAGGCGGCCCACCACGTACAGGGAGTACGCAAACGTGGCCAGGGACGCTAGCAGCACTATGGACTTGCCAAACGAGGCCATGTTTGTCAAATAAGTCGGGAAAAAGTTTAATTACGAGGTAATAACAAAAATTCAGTCAAAATTTCAGATTGGGTGAGATATTCGGTGTGACCATACCACGATCGCCGCTAAATCTTAAGTGTGTACACACCTAAAGTGGAATTATCGAAGTACTTACCTATCGATATTCAGAGCGCCAATTTTAAAATGTAATTATAACTACTAACAATTTGCTTATTTCCGTTTATTGGTAAATCCGTGCAAATGGAATAATAATTCAGCTGGAATCGACAAACTTACAACATAAACTTATTGTTCTTCTCGGACAAGTGCTTGGAGGAGCGCTTGGCATCGAGGAACAGCGAGTGCACGTCCTCGATGTCATCCTTGCTTATCTGGTTGCGGCCGTTCACCTTGCACATCTGGTGGGCCGGCGTTAGCAGCTGAACGGCGTAGCGCAGCGTGGAGCTGGTCCCGATCTCGCTGAGACGGGCGAAGGCGTTCTCGTCCAGCTGCAGTCCCTCGGTCTGGGCGCGCAGCTTGATGATCTGTTCCATGTCGGAGGTCGAGTAGAGAAGTGTGCGGATGATCAGCAGCCGATCAAGCAGATCCAGCGGAATGCCGTGCGGCGAGACGATGTCTGTGGTGCCACTGGAACAGAGGAGAAAAACGTGAATAAAGCTTATAGAAAGTAATAGGGAAAAACACAGATTAGTGGCTAGTGCGAGTTGGAGCCCTGCGTGAATCATTAAATTTCAATTAATTTCGAATTGAATGAATAAATAAATAATTTTTATGAATTTTTTGAATTTCACAGTTTTTTTTGTGTCCTCTTTTGAGAACAAAAAGTAAAAAATTGTTAACAATTCAATGTTAACTGCTTAGAAAACAAAATTCATGCAGATTTAATCACAAAATAATGGCCCTTTGTTCTTCAAAAGAAATTGTCGTTTTAATTATTTCGAAATTCATGCCATTCATTCATGTAATTCTATTAAACTAAAAATTCAAATTCATTCAATTCTATTAAACTCAAAATTCTAATTAGGTCATTCATATAAAACAAAAAATTCAAAATAATATATTGAATCCCTTTAATCAGGGCTCTAGTAAGAGTTGCCATGGAGTTGGAAAATGAAAACATTGTCTTAGAAATCTTTTGAACAAAGTTGGTGGAACCTAAATATAAATTTAAACCATTCTTGGATAATAAACATTTTTGTGACAATCATTTCATTTCAAATTTAAACTTGAGGAGTGTATTATAATAACAGTATGTTGCCAAGACAACAACTTATATGATTACTTTTCTAACAAACTCTTTTTTTTAACCATTAATTTAATAAAAAAAAGTCCGAGTTCTTGTTTCTTAAATAGTTCTTACCGAATCACACAGCGACCGCGATTGGTGGCAAAGATGACAATTGGAGCAATGGGAGATTCCAGCGATTTGTGTAGATATGTGAAGGTCTCCAGATCGAGCATGTGAATTTCATCGATGAAAAGGACGCCGGGAACCAGCTCGGCTATGCCCTGGTCAATATACTTGTTCACCACCTTGTTGATCTCCAAGCGTAGTTTGTCTGGGTATTAAGAAATGCATTAGTTCATATAAAAGTTAAAGGGACAAACAACTATATACCAGTGATTTCAGTTTTCTTGGGCTTCATGAGCTGTCCCATCATGGAGAGCACATCCTGGCCGCCCTGCGGACGAGCATTGGCCACATCCAGATCGTGCAGGGTGACATCCTGTATGACCTCCTTCTTCTTGTGGACATCGCCCTTGGGCAGCGGCACATACTCCTCGGTCTCCAGGTCAAATTCGGTGGCAAAGGTGTCGCTGCGTCCCTGGCGCTTCACCGCCCCGCTGTTGGCCTCTATGTAGATGACATCGCCCACCTCCACCTTCTCCTTTTGTAGGGCATCGAAGATGCTGGGATCCAGCTTGAGTTGTTTGGTGCCCTTGGCTGTCTTTAGGCCAATGACGACATTACTGATGGTCTTGCCATAGCCACCCATGGGGTTCTCCGTTTCCACGGGAGTCAGCTCGGTGACCTCGCCCTCGTAAACCTCCTTGGTCTCGCGGATGCGGAGGCCAATGGAACGCCGGAAGTTCTCCATTAGCACCTCGGTCTTCTTGATCTCGTTGCTGAAGACCTCCGAACCGACCATGGGGCAGAAGGGCACCTTGTTGCCCAGCTCCTGGGCAATGGCCAAAGCAATGGCGGTCTTTCCAGTGCCAGGAGGACCAGCAAGGAGCAGGGCTCTTCCGGCCATCTTCTTGGACTTGATCAGATCCACCACAATGCCGGCAGCCTCGCGAGCTGCCCTCTGACCCACCAATCCGGCGGCACTGTGCACCGCAGCTCCGAACTCGTCCAGTCCCAGTCCCTTCACGTGGCTGTGGGCTGCGATGCGCTGGGTGCGCACGGTGCTCTTGACTTCCTCGATCTTCATGGCGCCTCTGACTGCGTGTCCTTGTCGGTAATGATGATGCCTTTAGCCCGTTTCGGTTGCAGCTGCTTTTCGCCCGACGGAGATGTGAACTCAAGCGTTGTAACGATCAAACAACCTGTCCTGTTGCCTGGACGAAGCTTGTTTTTTTTTTTGCCGGTAATTGGAAAACAGAAGCACACTTTGTTTCGATAGGCGCGCGGCTTGAGTGTGACCGTGCGAGCCGGAAATCCAGATATGTGGATATCGATTCAGGTGCACTGATCAACAAAATTATGCTTCTAAAAAATTATATTCAAAAAAAGCATAAAAAAATCACTTTCAGTCTTATTAAACTTTGAAAAATTATATTCTAATTTATTCGAATAAATGCATAATAAAAATACCTTCTGTTTGATATAACAATCTTTTTAAAATTATTCTTCTAAACAATTTTATTTTAATTTATTCAAATAAAAGCAAATTAAAAACTACTTCGTTTTACATAACAATCTTATTAAACTTTAAAAAATAATATTCCAATTTAAATAAAAGCATAATAAAAAAAGGCTTCACTTTTTTAAAGCACAGAGAATAAACAAATTAAAAAAAATAATGTTTTTAATTTTTTTGGCAAACAATTGATTTAAAATTTAAAAAAAAATTGATTCAAAATAAAATGCTATTTAATATGTATAAATGCTACTTTTTTTTGAGTGCAGAGCGTTTTTTCAATAACGCTTTTGATGGTATTATTTAGCGTTCATTTAGTGGTCCTATTATAAACAACCAAATCTCGATGGACTACTTCTATCCAAAAGAAAACATAAACAAATCAATAAATAAGAGATTTATTTTAAATTTATAAATAAAATCAAAATAACACTGAACGATGAGCTGTAATTACGCAGACGGACTTTCGGCCTACCATGACAAGGGAATCCTGGGAGCGCCCGAGAGCTTCGACAGCGAGGAAGTTGTCTCCGAAAAGTGCCAGGAACTCGCCGATTTGATCAAGAAATCGGGACACGTTGTCCTGCACACGGGAGCTGGCATCAGTACATCCGCGGGAATTCCGGATTTCCGGGGACCCAAAGGCGTTTGGACCCTGGAGGAGAAGGGCGAGAAGCCGGACTTCAACGTCTCCTTCGATGAAGCCAGACCCACCAAAACCCACATGGCCATTATATCTCTGATCGAATGTGGCTATGTGCAGTATGTAGTCTCCCAGAACATTGATGGTCTGCACCTGAAATCCGGTCTGGATAGGAAATATCTTTCCGAATTGCACGGCAACATTTACATAGAACAATGCAAGAAGTGCCGACGTCAGTTTGTGAGTTCCTCTGCTGTGGAAACAGTGGGTCAAAAATCTCTAGATCGTCCGTGTAAATCTTCTTTGGATAGCAAAGGTCGCAGCTGCAGATCGGGAATCCTATACGATAACGTTCTGGATTGGGAACACGATCTTCCCGAAAACGACCTGGAAATGGGTGTGATGCACTCCACCGTCGCTGATTTAAATATTGCTCTGGGAACCACTCTGCAAATCGTTCCCAGCGGTGATCTTCCCCTAAAAAATCTTAAACGCGGTGGTAAATTTGTAATCTGTAACCTGCAACCTACAAAACATGATAAAAAAGCGAATTTAATCATATCCAGCTATGTGGATGTGGTTTTGTCGAAGGTTTGCAAATTATTGGGAGTCGAAATACCCGAATATTCAGAATCATCCGATCCCACAAAGCAACCGAAGCCAATTGAGTGGACCATACCCACAAATAATGTAAATACTTTTCACAAACAGTATAGGAAATATGTGAAGGATACGAAAATTGAATCTAAAGCTAAGAAAACGAAATATAAGTAAAGGTAAAAATAATTGCTTAGAAATATTCTGACATTCTTGTCGGTAAATCTCGAAACATAGCTAATTGTCTTCACAAACAACCAACTTAGTTTGGTAAAAATAAAAAAGTATTATATAAAAGGTACTTTATTTGGTTTCATTAAGAAGTAATAGTCAATCGGATGTTAAGTTTGTCTTATATCTAAAAACGCCTTATAAATCAGGCAAAATGGGTGGACAGGTGCATACAAGATGCTTGTCGCCATAGGCATCATCGATCCTGCCCACAGTTGGCCAGATCTTGGCATCTGGCTTCACGAAGATCTGTAAGCAAAGTCACATTAAATTATGGGAAATATTTAAGAAATATAGCTAAGACTCACAGCTGGGAAGGCAGCCTGCTCACGAGTGTAAGGACGATCCCATTTGTCCGAGATGACTTGAGCTTGGGTGTGAGGAGACATCTTCAGGGGATTAACGGCCCTATCCATGCGACCCGCCTCGATCTCGGCGATCTCCTCGCGAATGGAGATCATGGCATCGCAGAATCTATCCAACTCCTCCTTGTCCTCGGATTCGGTGGGCTCGATCATCAGGGTTCCAGCCACGGGCCACGACATCGTTGGAGCATGGAAGCCGTAATCCATGAGACGCTTGGCCACATCCACTGCCTCGATATTGGCCGACTTCTTCAGATCGCGTATATCCAAAATGAACTCATGGGCCACCAGCTGCGAGTTGGGTGCCTTGTAGAGCGTCTTATAGTGCTGCTCCAGCCGCTTGGACATGTAGTTGGCATTGAGAATGGCCACCTGGGTGGCTCTCTTCAGGCCACGACTGCCCATGAGTTTGATATACGACCAGGAGATGGGCAAAATGGCCGAGCTGCCGAAGGGAGCAGCGGAAACCACACCGAAACTGTGCTCCTCACTGGCCAGCGGACTGACCACCGGATGTCCCGGCAGGTAGGGTGCCAGATGGGCCTTCACGCCGATGGGACCCATTCCAGGACCACCGCCGCCGTGCGGAATGCAGAAGGTCTTGTGCAGGTTGAGATGCGAAACATCGCTGCCGTAGTCACCTGGCCGACACAGACCCACCTGGGCGTTCATGTTCGCCCCGTCCAGGTACACCTGACCGCCGTGCTTGTGGATCAGGGTGCAAATCTCCGCCACCGTCTCTTCAAAAACGCCCATTGTCGATGGATAGGTGATCATGAGACAGGACAATTCATGGGCATGCTCCTCCGCCTTGGCTCTCAAGTGGGCCATATCGATGGAACCATTCGACAGTATCCTAATCGGCTCCACCTTCATGCCCGCCATTTGAGCCGAAGCTGGATTTGTGCCATGCGCTGAGATTGGGATTAGGCAGATATTCCGGTGACCTTCATTGCGGTGCTCGTGGTAGCTGCGAATGGCTCGCAGACCGGCATACTCTCCCTGGGCCCCCGAATTGGGCTGGAAGGAGATTCGGTCATATCCCGTAATCTCGCAGAGATCATGCTCCAGTTCGCTGAACATCTGATGGAAGCCCTGGGCCTGTTCCACCGGAGCGAAGGGATGGATGTCGGTGAAGTGGCGGAAGGAGCAGGGCATCATCTCGGTGGTCGAGTTGAGCTTCATGGTGCAGGATCCCAGCGGAATCATCGAGTGCACGAGCGAGATGTCCTTGTTCTCCAGCTTCTTCATGTAGCGCACCATGCGGGATTCGCTGTAAAAGAGATGGATTTTTTAATAATATATATCCCTTACTTCACAGGTACACCATATAAAATATAACCCTTTAAACCGATATTAAAGCATACAATGAACAATAGATTTAATGAACAATTAAAAATAGTTTCATTTTAGATTTAATTCTAAGAATTGTTTTTATACCCTTGCAGAGGGTATTATGATTTCAGTCAGAAGTTTGCAACGCAGTGAAGGAGACGTTTCCGACGCCATAAAGTATATATATTCTTGATCAGCATCACTAGACGAGTCGATCTAGCCATGTCCGTCTGTCCGTCTGTTTCTCAGTTTTTGAGCTATCGGGATGAAACTTTCCCAAAAGTCTTCTTTCTATTGCAGGTAGTATATATGTCGGAACCGACCGGATCGGACAACTATATCTTATAGCTCCCATAGGAAGAATCGAAAAAAATCGAAAAAAAAACGTTAACAAAATTCTAGCTTTTTTTAAATATTACCTTCTACTCTAGGGAATATACTTTTGTATATATTTCTGAATTTCGAATTAAATATTTAAAAAATCAGATCACTATGTCATATAGCTGCCATAGGAACGGTCGAAAAATTAAATGGAAATTAATAGGAAAAAAATTATATCTTTGTTGGTTTTTACTCTGGGATATGACTATTTTTAAACATTTCCGAATTTCGATTTTAAGTTTAAAAAGATCGAACTACTATATCATATAGCTGCCATAGAAACGATCGAAGAGCCTTTAGCTGATAGAGCATAAGTTTGTATGAACTTTTAATCAGGAAAACTAGAAATGGTTCGTGGAAATTTCACAAAATTCAGTTTTGTGTTCCTGTGCTTTTATTGTTTGGGATGATCAAACTCACCTGTGATAGCTCTGGAAAATGGGATGCTGTAAATAGGGCGACGTTCGCAGGAACTTGGAGTTCTCAATGGAGTTCTTAAGGACATCACGTCGCGCCAGTAGTTGTTCCACAGTGGCCTCCGCCTTGAAAACCCACAGCAGATCGTCCACATCTGCCACACTGACCGTCTCATCCAAGGCCACGCCCACAGTTCCATCCTCGAGATATCGAAGATTAATGCGCTTGTGCTCGGCGCGCTCCTTGAGATCCTCCAGCGAGAGATTTCCACCCAGCCTGATGTTCAGCGTGTCAAAGAAATTCTTGTTGACCACCTCGTGACCCACTCCCTGGAGTCCCGTTTGCAGGGTCAGCGTGAAGTGGTGGATGCGATTGGCCATGGCCTTTAGGCCCTCCGGACCGTGGTAAATGGCGTACATGGCCGACATGTTGGCCAGCAGAGCCTGGGCCGTGCAAATGTTACTCGTGGCCTTGTCCCTGCGGATGTGCTGCTCCCTGGTCTGCAGGGCCAGGCGATAGGCATCGTTTCCGTCCATGTCCCTGGTGACCCCGATCATTCGGCCGGGCATCAGACGCACCAAGCTCTGCTTGCAGGCGAAGAATCCGGCATGGGGACCACCGTAGCCCAGTGGAACTCCCAAGCGCTGGGAAGTTCCCACGGCAATATCCGCTCCGAATTCCGCCGGCGGACGAAGGAGAGTTAATGATAGCAGATCGGTGGCCACCACCACAAGGGTCTAAAGGAGAGTTAATGGGGGATAATATAATTATATTTTATGTAGGTACTTTAAAGGGTAAAAGAGGAATCTTCCTACATTTTCAGGATCATTTTTAAGGCCCTAACCTTTTTTTCAGGATGGTTTCTAATACCCTAATATTTTAATTTTCGGCAGAGTTTCATTTATGAGATCACAGGAATCTTATCACATTTTCAGAATGGTTTTTAAATTCGTAATATTTTTATTTTCGGAAGGAGTTTAATTAATGAGATCACAGAAATCTTACCACACTTTCAAGATTTTTTCTAATACCCTAATATTTTTATTTTCGGCAGAGTTTTATTGATGAGATCACAGGAATCGTACCACATTTTTAGGATGGTTTTAAAAGTCCTAATGTTTTTATTTTCGGCAGGAGTTTCATTTATAAGATCACAGGAATCTTACTACATTTTTAGGATGGTTTTTAAGGCCCTAATGTTTTTATTTTCGGCAGGAGTTTCATTTATGAGGTCACATGAATCTTACCACATTTTGAGGATGGTTTTTAAAGCTCTAATTTTTTATATATTTGGCAGGAGTTTTATTTATGAGATCACAGGATACTTACCACATTTTGAGGATGGTTTTAAAAACCCTGATCTATTTATTTTCGGCAGGAGTTTAATTTATGAGATCACAGGGATCTTAATTCATTTTCAGGATGGTTTTTAAAGCCCTACTATTTTTAATTTTAGGCAGGAGTTTCATTTATGATATCACAGAAATCTTACCACTCTTTTAGGATGGTTTCTAATACCCTAATATTTTTATTTTTGGTAGAGTTTTAATTATAAAATCATAGGAATCTTACTACATTTTCAGGATCATTTTTAAAGCCCTAATCTTTATGTTTTCTACAGGAGTTTCATTTACGAGATCACAGGAATCCTACCACAATTTCAGGATGGTTTCTAATGCCCTAATATTTTTTTTTCCGCAGGAGTTTAATTTTAAGAGTTCTACCTATTAAGCTTACCCCATTTTTCTTTGCCAAGGCTGCCACATCCTCAAAGTCCTTGACATCACCATAGGTATCTGGATACTGCAGCAGAATGCCAGCCAATTCGCGACTGGGCAGATCGGCCTGTTCAATGGGTCCCACCACGATCTCCAGCTCCAGGGCTTCGGCTCGCGTCTTGACCACGGACAACGTCTGGGGATGCACTCGATTCGAGAGATACAGCTTCTTCCGCTTGTTGTGCCTCGTGGCCAGGCACATGGCCTCGGCTGCAGCGGTTCCCTCGTCCAGCAGCGAGGCATTGGCCACATCCAAGCCGGTGAGATCGGACACCAGGGTCTGGTAGTTGAGTAGCGACTCCAAGCGACCCTGGGCTATTTCCGGCTGGTACGGCGTGTACTGCGTGGTCCAACCCGGATTCTCGAACAAATTCCGGATAATCGTGTGCGGCACATGGCAGTTGTGGTAACCCATTCCGATGTAGGAGCGCCACAGCTGATTCTTCAGCGAGATGTCGCGGATTCGGCGGATTAGCTCGTGCTCATCTGTGGGGCAGAATTTTGTTGTCAGCCAGACGGAGGCGAAAATCGAAGATCAAGCGGTGGCAGTCAAAACACAGATAAGTCGGAGGGACCCCGCTGAACCGGGCTTATCACCGTCTTATCAGCGCCTGCGAACACGCCAGGGGGTCCATTGCCTTAGCGGCTATTTTTAAAACTATTTTGGGACCACAAAACAGCGCTACTTACTCAGGGGTTTGTCCAGGTTGAGTTCCCTCTTCAGTTGAATGCTTTGGGGCACAGCTTTTTCGGTTAGCTCAGCCAGGGACTAAGGGATAATGGAAAAGGGTTACTAACTTGCATAATCTAATTTCGATGTTTAGGATTGGCTTTCCAAAGTTTCTTTAGTTATATAAAAACTATTCAGGAAAATTTAACGTTTTAATCTCAAAACTTAATTTGCTAAACAATTATCATATTATAAGGTTTTGAAACTCAATTTTTTTTAGATCTCCCTACCTTGTAACCCAGAGTATCCAACATTGCTACCACATCCGTCTTGCGAGGACCTATATGGCGGCTGGGAAAGTCCGATTTGGTGGGGAATAGAACCTCCTCCACGGGAGTGGTGGCCAGATAGCGATGACCACATCGCAGCAGTAGGCTCTGACTGTTCCTTCCCAAGAATCGCTGCATGGTTCAAACGAATTAACTAAGGCACGTCCACGCCACGCGGATTTCAATCAATGACTGATTTTAGGCTGGACAGAATTTTCCCATTTAAGTTGATAAGGCGGGGTAATGATCATCATCATCCCGGCTTATCAGTTGCGCTCTCCGAGCGATGGAAATATTTCAGACTCAGAAATGCCATAAATACACAAGTTCGGTTTTAAATATTTTCATTTTATTTCAAAACTTAAAACTCTTCAACAATTTGTAATAAAAATATTTTCACTATTATTTTCTTTTACCAATTCGTTAGCTTGTGGTTTTTCTCAGAGAAACTTCAAACGATAACATAAATGGTTTACAAACGTGTCTCAATAACAAGAAAAGAATCACAACTTAATTGGTTAACAGAAATCAAGTGAACATTAATCAACATTAAATTTATGCGTATATAAACTGAAGCCGTTTATAATCCCTTGCCTACTTAACAATTGCATTGGGTAATGTCTTGGGGTCTTGCCGATTTCAAATCGAAATACTTGTCATAAAATTTTCCTAATCGTTTTGATTAACTTTCGGCTCCTCTGCCGCGATTGATAATTGTTTCTATAGCCATTTGCGTTCGGGTTTACTTTTACTTGCTTATTCATAATCGATATCGTGTCTTTTGCATAATTGAAATCCAACAACTGCAATCGGTATGTAATTAAATACAATATATATCATTAAATTGGTATAGGTACATACATATATGGCTGCGTGTATATTTAACAATGTTGGCAAACTAATTTTACGGCTCGTGTCAGTCAGTTAACGTAATTTGATTAATCGTTATACTTAGCTTCCTCGACTAACTCGGCCCAAAAATGCACTTAAGAGTTTTACACCGTTTCGAAGTGTGTGTATTTTTCTGGGTATTTGTTGGCTAGTGTAGACCGTGTAAATTGATTAGTTAATTTTAAGGAAAAGTTTAAGTTTAATTGAGTGTTCTGGTTAAGGGAATTAGAGCTAAACTTTGGTTAACGCTGAAAAAAGATGGAATAACATTTTGTCCTCTTCTCGGTTACAGTGTTTCGATAGCTAAACTCTTTGTATATACGTAGGTAGATATATATTGTATAAAAATCTTTGCTAAGTTATGATCAGTTGAGTTGCTGGTGCTGTCAATGTAGATGAGGTAAGTTGCAAGAAGCCAAAATGGTTTGGTGCAAGAGTGGCTTGAAGAGTAAATATATCCGATTTGCAAGGTTTTTATATATGTATTTGCAGAGAATACGTAGTTTTTCCTATAACTGTTTATCATATTTACTATATTTATATTGCTTAGCGAGAGTTAAGATTACTGAGATAAAAACCGATCTAAAACCAGGAAAATATTTTTAAAGCGATTTTAGTACTAGAATCAAAAAAGCAGCAACATTTAACTTTTAATTCTAAGATTGATTTTGTAATTAATTATGAAGTGCTAAGTATTTAGATTTACGAAACTCAAGGGACAATGCTTTAGATCTTTGACTCTTTAAAAATACGAAGAACGTAATTTTCATAAACTAAAATTACCATTCGAGGCTTACAATTCTAATAAATAGACTTTAATTTTGTTTATGAAATATATTTGAAAAGTAATGTTGTTCTTAGACTGATTTTTTTCTCAGTATAATAAGTTTTGAGCTTTATTTCGAGTACTGTATAGTATTTCTTTGGGAAAAAGTTTTTCAGGGGCTTTAAAATGTTAATGGACAACCTTCGGTTAACGATTGATGTGAATCTCTACTGTTTGTTCTGCTCCTTGTCGAAGTTGGAAGTAAAAGTTCGATTAAACTGAAACGGTAGCAATGGAGAGGCACTTGAACCACCCAGGGAACTGCCGGTAAGTGGTTCCCTCAGTGTGAACGACATCATGGGATTGTAGACACCCGTGGAATGAGTGAGGGAACTAGTGCTCACGGTACTCGCAGAGCAAGTGGTAATGGGATCGCTCAAGCGAGAAGTGAAGGAGCTGCTGAAATTGTAGGGCACATAAGAAGAGGTGGTTGTTGTTGTTGTGGTGGCGGTGGTAAGGGATGCGGCGGTAGTGGTGGTGGTGGAGCGAAGATCTGAGCAACTGGCCCTTGGCGATGTGGAGGAGACACCCGAAGCACCCGGGTTCAAATAGGAGTAGTTGCTGCTCGAGGGCAGCGAAAAGGAGGCGCCCGCATAGCTGCTGGACATGAATGAGGAGGAGGTGCTAGAAGCAATGGTGGTGGTGCTGCTGGATGTGGCTGAAGTGGTGCTGCACAAGTCCCCGTAGCTCTTGGCCGGCACCGAGGGCGAAACCACTGGCGAGCGGCTGGGCGGACGGGAGTGGGTCTGCCGCTCGATCTGCTTCTCGGTCAGGAAGCGATCATAGAAGGTCGAGGTTACGGTGGTGTGGCGAATCTCCAGCTTGCCGGGCTGATAAAGGGGTGTGCCGCCCCCTGCGCCAACGGGGGACCGATGGTAGGGATCGTACGGCTGGCGATAGGGCGACACGGGCCGGGGGAAACTATCGGTTGCACTGGCTGCTCCCGTTGTGCTGGCTTGGATCTGGACTGGATCTGTGTGGCTGTGGCGTGTGGCTGTGGTGCGGGACTCGTACGGGTGGCTCAACGGTGTGCGACAGGCCGAGCGTCTGGCATCGTCCGCATACTTGGCGCACGTCTCTTCTAGTTGTCTATCTACTTTGTGGTTAAACCCGGTTAAACTACTCCCGCTACTTAGTTCGCTACGATTATCAGCAAAATAATTTGGCAACAAGTTATCACGTCTTACCCTACTGCTCTCCCGATCCTTACGCTCCTCATCCTCCTCCTCCAGCAGACGCCTTCGCCGCGGGGACAGCTCCCGGCTGACCTCCCTGTGCGATCGATGGTGCAGGGGACTGGTATCCCGATCGCCCAGCGGACTCCTTCGCGACTCCGCTGAGCCCAGCGATCGATGCTCCGAGGTGATTCTTATTGAGGGAGCATAGTCCCCTGATCTGTGAATACTCCTGCCTCTGCTCTCACTGCGACTCAGACTGCGGCTGAGACTGAGATCCTCCAGAGAACTCTTCTTGCTGGCAAAGTGCAGCGAGTCCGAGAAGAGTGAGTCGATGTACCGCTGGCACTTCTCCTTCTGGTAGGGCTTCTCCTCGCACAGGGTGTCGATCGATTTGATGGAGTTCTTGATCGAACTGAGGCGGTCGTTGATGTTCTCCCCCGTTCGCAGAGGTACGCCCGTATGGGTTCCGGTTCTGGTAATCGGGGAGGTTTCCTAGAAGGTAGAATAAATATGTTAGGATTAAATGGTATGTTCACAAGAACACAAAACTGAACTTTGTGAAATTTCCACCAACCAATTCTAGTTTTCTATGATAATTGGGTGCCTTGACTTATTATGACTTATTATTTAATGAATGGTCCGATTTGAAAAATGTCTTCTACATTTCTATAGGTATAAATATACACAACAAAATTGCATTTATACTTCTCGGAAATCTTTAAAGGTGTGACCGCCAGGCACATTTTAAAATCGTTAGTGGGCGATTGTGGGCGTTAGAGGGGGCGTGGCGCTCGTCTGAAATAATCTTGCGCTGCGTAGGAAGCCCAAGAATATGTGTGGAAAATCTCAACCTTCTAGCTTTTGTAGTTTCTGAGATCTCAGCGTTCATACGGACAGACAGACATACAGACATACAGACATACAGACAGACAGACGGACAGACAGACGGACAGAAAGACGGACAGACAGACGGACAGACAGACGGACAGACAGACGGACAGACAGACGGACAGAGAGACGGACAGACGGACATGGCTAGATCGACTCGGCTAGTGACCCTGATCAAGAATATATATACTTTATGGGGTCGGAAACGCTTCCTTCTAGCTGTTACATACTTTTGCACGAATACAATATATATAAATTAAAAAACGGTTTTATTGGTATAGGAAATCCAATCCTCATGAAAACGCTTTAAACCGAAATTAAAGCATACAATGAACAATATATTCAATGAATATTTAAAATTAGTTCCATTTAAGATTTAATTTTCAGAATTGTTTTTCCATCAGAAAAATCTTTAAAATTTTGGAATTATCAAATATGTGGTCGAATTCCAAAGCCGTGGGCAATAGTTGACAACGGACACTAATTTTTAGGGAATACCGTGATGTATGAAGAGCAGAGTTCAGTAAAAATAATTAATTATATAAGGGACATAATTGCAAATGTCGGCAAACATCGTTTTTTTTTGTATTAGCTATACCGCGGAACCTGTAGCTGATGGAACATAAGTTTGTATGGGACTTTTACTCAAGAGCACTAGAAATGTTTATTGTAAATTTTTGGCTGTGTACCTGTGTTATGGGCTACAACTTACCCTCATTAGACGACTACCCAGGGCATCCAGACCCTCCGAGCTGCTGGCGTAGCTGCGAATGGCCGATGGCTGATCTGCAAGAGTCTTCTTAAGAATACGTTGAAGAATTTTAGTATTCTCCGCTAAACAGTCCAAAACGTCATTAGTGCTGCCCACCATTCGATCGCTGTTGTGGCGCGACTTCGACCTGGGCGCCTCCTCGAACTGGTCCTCGTCCTCGTCTTCGTCCCGGAACCGTATGACCTTGGGGCTGGTGGGCCGGTAGTGGGTGGTGGCACCGCTAGCGTGCGTCTCATCGAAATCGTCACGACGGAGGGCAGACTTGGGCGTTGTGGCGCCATGGCGGCGGGGGCTTTGCTCCCGGGACTTGGCCGCCCGGAATTCCTCAAAGGAAAGCGAGGGTGAGATGACGTCCTTGAGCTTTTGATTGAATGCCTTGTAGTCCTTCTGGGTCTTGAAGTCAAACTTGTGATCCTGCTCGAGAATGCGTATGCGCTCCTCGAGCTCGTCGGCAGTGGGTGGCTCTGGTCGGCCAGGAGAACTGACTATTCTCTCCAGATTGTGGACCGGTGTCCGTGGCTTTTGCTCATCCCGCATCTTCTGGCGTTTCATGTCATCGATGGTGGGCGATCGGGAGCGAGACTTGGATCGGGTTTTGGCTGGCGACCTGAGTTTTTCATCCAGCAGTCGTATCCGGTGCTCCAGTTCCCCTGTTGTGGGTATTGCACTGTCATCCGGACTGGGGCTTAGAATCATTTCGAGTGGATGTATGGCCGGCTTTCGGTTGGGATCGTGCATTCGCTTGGCCAAGTTCTCCTTGGATTTGGATCTTACCAGATCGAGTACCCTATACTTGTACTCCAGATCGTCGGAGATGGGAAGATCGTTAGGATGTGGCTTGCGGCGGGCTGGTGAAGTGTAGGGACTCCGCTTGGACTTCCTTTCCGGCGAGCGTGTGGGAGAAGGCGATCGCTGGCGATGTCGGGAGGGCGAAGTATAAGGTGATTTGGCTGCCTTTCGGGAAGGAGAGGTGTAGGGAGATTTGGTAGCTGCCTTTCGCGTGGGAGAAGTATACGGAGATTTGGTGGCCACCTTGCGTCCAGGACTGCGTGATCGATCCCTTACCGTTGCAGTTTCCTCCGCCTTTGTGGGGGTTTCCAAGGGCAATGGTTCCTCGTCATCCAGACCCTTACCCTCACACAGCTCCAAGTACTTGTTTAAATCCTTTTCGTGGGAAAGCGAGTATTGCAGTTTAATTTTCCTTTCAATTTCATTCAAACGCTGCTCCACATCAATCTTCTCCACATCCTCGAGCAGTTTTATTTGACGTTCCAAGGAGCGGAAGCGAGATTCCAACTCTTTGGTGGAGGGCAGGTAAACGGTTTTGCGTTTCAGGTGATGCTTGACGGTGTTTGGTCCCCAGTCGTAGTCCTCTGGTTCTTCTGGCTCTGGTTTGTCCACCTTTTCCGCCTTCTTCGGCTTCTCTTTCTCCTCCGGCTTGGCGGTGGTGAAATCCTCGATTTCCTTGGTGAGATCACAAATGGCCTGGGCCTGCTCCACTTGCTCGGCACTTGGCTTGCTATCTACTCGTATCAGGCGACCATCTTCTGATTTGACGAGATTCCGATCGTTGAGTTGTTTCTCTAGGGCCTGGAAAAGATCTTCCAGTTCTTCGGTGTTGGCTCTGGTCAATCTCCTAACCTTCGAGGCTCTGGGTTCGTTGTCCATTAGCAGTACAACTGTTTTGCTGTTGGAATCCATGGGTCCCACTTCGGTGGCATTGATCACCATTTTCTCGGGCAGTTCTTTGGAAGCCGAGTCTTTGCTTGTTTCTTTTTTCTCTGGCAGTTGTTTGGTTGATTCTTTGCTGGCGGTGACCGGTGCTTCCTTTGATTTGTTGGTTTCAGTTTTCGGATTTTCTGGTTTGCTTGTGGAGAGTGATGCCTCATTTTTAGGCTTTTCACTTTCCTTTTTGGTGGTTTCTTCTTGAGAAGGAGCTTCCTTGGGCTTAGGGTCTTTGCTCGAGGATGCTTCTTTCTCGGGCTCTGAAGGTTTCTCTTTTGTTGATGTTTCCTTGGCGACAGCAACTTTGGTGGTCACTGATTTCTTTTTAATTTCATCTTCTGATTTATCTTTAATGGGAGATTTTTCATCCACCACAGCTTTTTCCTCTTTACTGGCTTTTTCTGTAACCACCTCTTTTGCTCGAGCCTGCGCCTTTTCCTCGTTTTCCAGGGTTTTGGTTTCCTTCACAGCTTCCGGTTCAATTTTCCCCTCAACTGGCACTTCCGACTTCTCAGCTTCGTCACTTTTCACATTTTGATTGTGGCAGTTTTTCTCTTGCTTCTTGCAGTCGTCACTTTCAGCTGCCTTTTCTGGAATTTGTTCGATTACTTCATTTTCGGTTGGTATTGAGCCATTCTTGGCCCGCTCCTCCAACAATTGCTGCTCCAATTGCTCCAGGCGACGGGTGAGATCCTCTGTCGTGGGCTTGGACTCACCTTTCGGTTGCTTGGATTCACCACTATCCTTGTTGACCATCATTTTGATGTTGATGCTTATGTTAATGGGCTTGTGGGCATCCACCTCCTCCAGCTCACCAATGTTCTGCGAGTATCTGACCAGCTCCTTGCAAGTGGCGTCGATTGTCTCCGTGCTGAGCCGCCGAGGAGATCCACTGTCACTAGCTCCTCCCGACCTCTGACGCTCCCTCATCGCCTCCAGCAGCTTGAGACTGTTCTCGCTCAGCTGCTTCTCCAGCGCCAGGACACGCTGCTCCAGTTGTCCCTCGGCCTCCAGGACTCTGGCCTGGCGGGAGGTGCTCGGCTGGTCATCCGGCGGCGGGAGCTTGACCTTCGATGCAACTTCGGAATCACTTGCACAGCGCTGCTTGTAGAACTTCTTGTAGAGTTGCCTCTCCAGGAACTGCAGCCGGTTCTCCAGATCGGCCCGGGAGGGTAAATCCGAGAACCGACGCACCATGCGCTGTTGCCATTGATCATGGTTTGCCGCTCTGTAGTAAGCCGTGTTTGCAGGTGCTTCCGAGGTCTCATCGCCCATGGGCGCGGGTCGTTGGAGGGGATTCCTCCTCTGCTGCTGCTGCTGTCTCCTCTGTGGATTTATCTCGCTGGGCTTGAGGTTCTCCTCGCCGGGTGATTGGCCACGCATCTTGCTCTGCAGCTCCTCGATCAGAGCCTGTTGCTGGTGAAGAACGGGTTCGGCCAGAATGGGACGTTCTTTCGGTGGTGGAGGCGGTGGTGGTGGACTTGGAATATGCGCCTCGATGGCCACGTCTACGTGCTTGGGTTGTGTGGTTGTCGAAGAGGCCTCCTCCTTCTTACCATGCAGTGCCTCAAAGCGACTCTCCAGATCCTCAGTCGACGGTGGCGGCTTCTTCTCCTCCACTGCCTCTGAAATCACCTCCTGTTGGATCCTCTCGAGAGCTTCATCAACTGTTTCGTTTGTTGCGCCAAAATGATTTTTGCTGCTCATGCGACGCTTTAAGGTTTCGTAGCGCTTTTCTAAATCTTCCGTGGATGGTGGTTCGGAAGCTCTTCTCTGGCTCTTCACCTTTTGCCCGCCCTCTTCTGAAAGCTCTGACTTTTCTTCTTTCTCTTTAGGGGCTTCACTTTCTTCAAGGTTTTTACGCTTCTTCTCAGCCGGATCTTCCTGCTTAACTTTCTTCTGCTCTTCTGCTATTGCGGTATTAACTTGTTTAATCTTATCATCAAAAGATTTCATAGATTTTTGTGCCTTTTCATTTTCTTTTGATGTTTGATTCTCAGCCGATGACTTTGTTTGCTCAGCCTCTTTGGGTGTTTCTAAGTTGGTAGTGCTCATCTGTTTTTCCAAGGCATTGAATCGTTTTTCCAGTTCCTCTGTGGAGGGTGGAGATTTTCGAGGAGTTTTTGCAGATTCTGGTTCACTAGAAGCTGATTTTTCATTAGGACAAGATTTTGTATCGGACTTGGAAGTTTCTGAAACCGTTTTCTCGATGGCTTTTACCTTTTCGGCATCAATTTTTTTTGTGGTCACATCAGTTTCTTTCTTATTTGCTTCGCCAGCTTCAGAATCGGGCTTCTTGAGAGCTTCTGCACTTGCAGCAGCCTCTTTCTTTATAGGCTCAACCTTTTCTGAATCAGATTGTTTATCTTCTTTACTAATTGGAGAAGTTTCAGATTTCTTGGTTTTGGCTTTTATAGATTTTTCTTCAAGTTTTGGCGACTCAGCCTTAACTTTCTGATCTTGGTTTTTTGTGGGTGATTCTGGGATCTTTTTTGTTTCTGGTTTTCTCTTATCAGCGTCTTTGGGATCCTCTGAAGGAGTAGTTGAAGGACTCTCCTTTGTCTTCTGCTTCAGCTTGTCGGACTCTTCTGGTTCTTCAGTGGCTTTAGTTTCTTCTTCATCGGGTGGCTCTTTCTTGGTTTTGGATGGGCTGCTCTTCTGTACGCTCATTTTGCGTTCCAGGGCATTGAAACGATCTTCCAGCTCGGCGGTTGATGGAAGCTTTTTAAGGCGAGGCTGCTCGGTGCCCTTTTCTTCGCTCACTTTTTCTTTGGTATCGCTGGTTTCGGTTTTTTCTGTAGTTTCTTTTGTATCCGATTGGAGCTCCTCGGATTTGTGCAGCTTGCTGGTTTTTTCACTATCCTTTTGCTCCTTGGAACCGCTGCCACTTGGGGGCTCTTCGTCCTTGAGATCAATCGGAGCTTTGGAACTAGATTCGCTGGAACTCAATTGCTTTGTTAAGGAATTGAAGCGTGTTTCGAGATCGGCGGTGGAGGGAATTCGCTCGGATTTACTCGGATAGTCGGACTCCATTTCGACCATCTCCTTGCGCTGCTTTTCGGCACTTAGTTGCTTTTCCAGGGTATTGAACCGCTCCTCCAGAGCAGCTGTGCTGGGAATGTACTTGGAGTGCCCAACATTCGGCTGATCCTGGCTGATTCTTCGCTCCAGAGCCTGATATCGTTCCTCGATCTCAATGGTCGATGATCGGGTCAGGGTTTTGCGTCGCGGATCCCTTCGCTTTCGGCTGGCATTACTCAAAGTGCTGGCTGTGGGAGGAGGTGGTCTAAAGCCCGAATTCTCCTCTATCGTCATGCTCAGCAGTTCTTTGTAGTCATCCTTGTTCTCACCTGGAATGTTATCGTCCCGAATCTGAGGCACCTTGCCAGCCACCTGTACACTATCATCATCCTCCTCCCTTGCGAAAAGTGGGGGCAGCGATTTGTATTCCCTATCGCCGCTATGCCCCTCCACCTTCTCGCGTTCCTCCAGGTAAATTGCACTAGTATCCGTCTCCTCTTCGTTGAGCGAGTAGGATAGCTCCAGTCGATTGGGACGCTCCACGCTGTTGACCCTTTCGAAATACTGATTCGTGACTCCGCTATCGCTCACATCGAAGCGCTTTTGCTCCTCCAGCAAATCTTCCTCAGCTTCGCTCTTTTCTCTTTGCGTGGCTATGGGACTAACTGGAAACTCGGTTTCGCTGGGAATTTTCAATGGCTCCAGCTTATAGCTGACCAAATCCGATTCCTTGTCAAAGCCAAAACGACCGCTTTCAGTGGCACTATCCTCCCCTAAGTCTTCCCTTTCCTCTTCCGCATCCTCCTTCACCGCCGGCTCCTTCTCATCCCCGCTATCGGTGCCCATCAGCATGAAGGGAATCTCGTGGCTGCCAGGAGCCCAGGATTTGGGCCTCTGCCGCTCCAAACTCGCCTCCCTGGAACTGGAACTCAGCTGCTTCTGCTCCTTGAGCTTGCGCGCTAGCTTCGCCTTGTGCTTGGGACTCTTCTCCATGGACTTGGGATCATCATCGTCGCAGAGGCTGGTGTCAGTGCTAGATCCTCCTCCTCCCGCTGCTCCTCCCACTCCGGTGTCCTGCTCCCCATCGCTGTCCTCGCTGTACGAGGAGCTGTCGCTCTTTCCGAATCGCGTGCGCAGCTTTTGGGTCCTAACGGAGCTCGAATCAATGCCCTCCCGCATCATGGCCGCCCGATCTGCCTTGATCTCCTTCCAGGTCAGGCTATCCCGTCGCCTTTGGCTCGGATCGGTGTCCCTCCAGAGCAGAGTCTCTCCCCTGCGCAGCTGCTTCTCGGCAGCTGGCTTGGTATGAAGGACCGCTGGGAGAGAGGGCTTCCGAGCGGGCGGAATGGCGCCCAAGGGGGCACTGACCCGCTTGCCCTTGTTGGTCACAATGGCCGGGCGACCGAGTAGCAACTGATTCACCGGCACCGACTGGGAGTTGGTAGAGGGACCTCCTGATCCCTGCCGCGCTGCCGTGGAACAAGCTGTGGTTAGGATGACATGAGCCTGCTTCTGGCGCTCCCTCAGGCGATCATACTGCTTCTTCAGCAGGGAAATATCCAAGGCCAGGCGGTCCTTCTGCTCCACTTGCTGCTTTCCCGCCGCCGCCGCCGTCGGTCCCACAGATCCACGTCTGCCCCAATTCAAGCCAAAAACGGTGGCCACCGCTATGCGCTCCTCATCTGAGTGGGTGTCCTCCTCGTCATAGTAGAGTCTTCACAAGGAAAAGGATATTTATCTTTATATTTCGCGAAATTATATTCCATAGTACTCACTGCAATCCCTGTTTGTGACGCAGTGGGGCAATGTTGTAGAGGTGCTTATCCCGCAGCTGTCGCAAATCCGCAATGGGTCCTAGCTTCACCACCCGCTCAATCAGTCCATTGGAGTCAACCAGATGACCGTTGAGGAGCTCGCTGGAGTAGGAACCCATCTTGCCATAGAACTCATCCGCAGATCGGACGCTAAGCACACGTCTTAAAAAGAAATCACATAAAATGAATTATGAAATTGTCTTTAAAAACTTATAAAGGAAACGAAATAATAAAACCGAAAAACTTTATACAAAAACCCATTCAAGAGCTTATCCTTTCAATTTCCCAAGTCAATTCTTGACCTTGGCCTCCCTTGCTAAACCCCCTTTCTAGTTTACATTTAGCACAGTTTAATGTCGTTCGTTTTTTGTTTTTCATATTTACTTAACTTGTTTTCCACAGAACCATAAAAAGTTCCACAACGTCTGAACATGAAATTCCTGGTGGGTAAAGACCGAGCGGAATTGCTAAATTGCATTTGGCAACCAAGAAAAACTCTTGCCAAAATTCCAGCAGCCTTGACACAAATTCTCGCCTTGCACTGCGGCGATTGTTTGGCCAACCACCCACCAAAAAACCCAGCCCAAACATTCTACACAGACACTGGGGGCGCATTGATATAATCGTACTTTCGGTATAATTTCGCATTCAATTATAATTAAGAAAATTCCGCAATTAGAACTAACGACCTCCAGATGTTTTTTAGATTCTTCTATAAAACTTCAAGTTTGATAAAACCATATTATATATTAAAAGATAATTTAAAGAACCTTTATTAAATTAGTTTTCGTACTTTCGGTATAATTTTGCATTCAATTATAATTAAGAAAATTCCGGTATTAAACTAATGACCCCCAGAAGTTTTTCAGATTCTTCTATAAAACTTTAAGTTGGATAAAACCATACTATATATTAAAATATAATTTAAAGCACCTTCCTTAAATTAGTTTTAGATTCGATTTTTGTATATTTATAATTCAAGTTTAATGAAATTGTACGTAAAATAAGCCAAATAGTTAAGAATCAAATTATTAGGTTGAACTTTAATCTAAATACAAAATTTCTAAATGATTTTAGACTCCTATATAGATCAAATGCATTATATATATTTCCAATATAGCAGCCTTTTAGCCCAATCATTTTCTAACCTGATAAAATGTTAAAAACATATTATGATTAGAACATCTTGTAGACTTACTCTTCCAGCAAACTCCAGAGGACGAGGGCGGTGCGCAGGAGGACGTCGCTGCCCTCGATGAGGACCAGATCCCAGACGCGCAGGACGCAGGACATGGGCAGGCAGGTGCAGAACATGGTGAGGAACCACTGCATGGTGAAGACGTTTGTCAGCGGCGGCTCGAAGGCGTTCTCCACGGGTCCCTGGAGGCGCTGCAGGTGCTTCGCGAGGCGTGGCAGTCGCGTCTGCATCAGCTCCCGGAAGACGCCCATGTCCGCCTGCAGGCCGCCCATCGAGCCGTAGAAGTAGCCCGTCGGCAGCACGCCCTCCACCAGGTAGATCATGACCTTCATGGACTCCTCCTCCTCCTTGTCCATCACCTGCAATATGAGGGCTCCCAGCATGTTGAAGCCCTGAATGTGAAGGATTGTGTTGGCGTATGTTTGTGACTTTCTCGAGTGCAGGCAGCAGACAAAGATCCTTTCGAGGGGCACTCACCTGGCAATAGCCCACCTCGGGGTTGTAGCGGGCGTAGCCGAGCAGGATGCGCTTCAGCTTGGCTTGGTTAATGGAGCCCGCGGGGCCGGTGCACAGATTCGAGCCAGTGCGATGCAGATCCTAAACGGGGGCGAAACATTTATGATTCTCTGGAGGACTGACAGACCGTCCATGACTGCTGGAACTCACCTTGACGATTTGAATGCCCAGCTCCTCGTCGTCCTCGCGCCACTCCTCGCAGAAGCACTTCTCCCGCTGCTGCGTCCAATCCACGTTCTTCGACTTGAGGTACTTGTCCGCCAGCGAGAGCCACAACTAGGGAAGGTAGTTGGCCAAATTAAAGGGTTATTCACTCGTAAATAGAAATGCATAAATGTATGCCTTAAGTAATTCGCTTTAAAAGTTTGATAACAATATTTAAAAGTAAGTATTTAAGATGTGAAATGAATTTATGAAAATTATTTCTTGTTAGGCATTCACTTGCTTGAGACTTTTATTTGAAAAGCAAAACTTTGATATTTAGCTAAAAACGTCTAAAATAACACTGTTGTCCACACAGTTCATACAAATCTGCGATTTTTGAAAACAACTATATTTTTCATTTTCTGGCCTTAAAAGTGCATTAAAAACAGCCAAATTAATACTCCAAATAATGAAAAATCACAAAAAAACTGTTATTTACAGTCCTTGATTAAAACTAATGAATAAAAGAAATGAAAAGCTCATTGTCGATTTTGTTTAATTACAAAAAAAATTTAAATAGGTTATGGAAACCTAAACATGAATTAATATCATTATCATATCATATTAATATAACATTAATATTTATCACGGAATGTATGTTGGATGTTAGACACCTAGTGTATATTTAATTTACAGATTGAGGGGATTGCAGTAATAAATAAAATAAATATAGGTACTCGTATATTCCCCATTTCCTGTGACCTTATGCTCAAAGCCGAGGCCCAGTTAGAATCTCACCTTGCGTCGGAACTCGGGTGGAGTGCCTCCGGGCAGTCGGGCCACCAGTTTCATCGCATGCAGCCACTGGTTGTAGTCCGAGGTGGCTTCATCGTCGGCAGATCCGGAGGCGGTGGGGCTGGTACCGTGGCCTCCGCCATTGCGGGCCAGCATAGTGGTGGTGCTGCTGCTAATGGGGCTTCTATCGTTGCTGCCGGGGGTGGTGGAGCAGCTGGTGGTGGTGCTGTTTTTAGTGGGCGAGGTTAGGCGGGCACTGCTAATGGCTTTCTGTGGCGGTGGTGAGAGGCTAAAACGCATTTTAGGCTGTGCATCGTCTGCAAAAGTTAAGCAAAATTCTTATATAGCATACTTTCGACCGGCGTTGCGGGTTAAGGATTTAGTTCAGTCTATTCAAATAGGATTCTGGGCTCTTGGCTGCTGGATCCTTAGCACTTACAATATCCGTGCAGTATGCAAACTTTACATATATAGATATTCGTAATATTATAATATAGAGTTGGTAGTTGGCACAATATACGTTTTTAAGAGCGCGCAAAAGAGAGAAGAAGAAAGAATACAAAGATGTATATATTTATAGTTAAATATTTGTATAGCTTAGACACTTAATCAATCAAGTGCTCTGATCTAAATGATTGCGAGAAATGTCGATGGGCGAGTTAACTAGAGAGAGCGAAAGAAATGCGGCATGCATGTAGTGCGAAGATGCGATTTGCGGCCACACATCCTTGGGACGAAACATCGGTGAAGGCGGCTAAAACCAAAACCAAATCAAAAAGTCAAGCCAACATGAGACAGGACACTCCATTGAAGAGCGACGCACACAGACACACGAGAGTCCGTCTCTGTGTTAAATTGACCATGACATTTATTTCAGTTGACAAGTGTTTTGCGGGTGGTGAGAATGTGCGGGCGATACATATGTATACTGTATGTCCTATGTGTCCTGGCATCCCAACTAAAACATAGTTAGCCCTGCGATGCTGACACCCCGACATGAGAACAATATCCTCGTGGCTCAACTTTATCGGCTTCTAGGCTCTAGACAGCTGCCGACAGGCATTCCTCCTGATCCCCTCCCCCGCTTACATGCTCAGCAGCAAAGGTCAAGTTAATAAAAAATATGATGTCTTTCGCTGGGTTTATGATAGCAGCATAAATTCAGATTGCACTGGGCTATATGAAGATACAAAGATTGGCCTGGGTTAAAGTTTCGCCCACGAATCGATATTTTTTTGTGGTTTTTCCCAGCTTTTGAATTTCAAACGCTCTCGTGTGGCCCATAGAATCGCACTTTATGGCTGATAATTTGATTTCCGTTTTATTTTTCACTTCTGGTCTGGGTTTCCAGCTTATCAAGCGCATGCGGTTCGAGCGGAACGTGAGTCAAATTTAAAAGCTAAAATCTGTTTATTTTTCTCGGGTCTCAGCCAAAGCTTCTGATGAGAAATAAAATGGGAATGGAATGTGTGGAAATAAAATTTGCGTTTTTTAAAGAATTTCTCGGGAAATTGGTGTAATTGTTTGCCTTCAAAGCAGACAACCAAAAATGCGGGGAATCCATTAATATGGAGCCTCAAAGTAGATACTAAAAGTGTAATAATTCGCTTACTTGTGTAAGCTTTTGGCATTATTTTTTATTTCTTTCAATAAAATTTTAAATTATATAAAATTAAACTTCAATTAAGTTTCATAGACCTTTTGATTAATAAATAATTATTATAAAACATTATTGAAAGAAGTATAACGAAGTATATTATTGAAAGAAGTTTTAACGATAGTTTTAAGCTATTTTGAGTTTTCTGCAAGATTTCCATAAAAAGAAGTTCTTTTATTTGTTTACTTACTGCCTCTTTGCCTTGGAATACTTTGATTAAAGAAAGTTCTAGTTAGGCACGCCAAACTGTATTTGATAAACATGATTGCTTGGTATTTTTTCCATTTTCCTCCATCGCTTATTTACATGCTTATGCAAATCCACACATACACTTCAGTATGTAAGCGTGCTATACCCAAGATGTTTACTCCTTCGAAGGAAGGCATTTGTATAATGAAGAGGCAGTTAGAAATGGCCGTTGCCCAAAGTTAAAGCTAAACAAACATGGGATTGTTTACTTTCAGCAAATTGGAGAATCTGCTGGTAGAGGAAGCGAAGCTCTCGGGCCTCTCGCAGACTGGAGGACCAACCTCAGGAGACCCCGACCCGGGGTAATGAAATACTAATTGCGCCGACTCTTATGTAATGGGGTTCCTAACTTCGCACCAATTAGGCGCCGGACGTAAAAACATTCTTTATGGCCTGAGGATGGACTGGCCGCCCTGGGGGGCTCATATTTTTTCTCCGCTTCAAGTGCATTTTCCATGGAAGATTTATGTGCGAATGACAATGAGAAGAAGCGTTCTTTATTGTATGCAAGTGAGTGTAATTATTTTAAATGCGCCTGCCCAAGGACATGTGATCCTACGAGTGTTTGGCTAGTCAAGGCTGCGATAGTTAGCCCACATTTTGGCCGAATGCTTGGGCCTTGACCAAAACTAAACTTTGCCCAGCATCACGTGCGTGTTGTTCGTTTTATTTTTTTTTCTGTAATGTGTGCTGTGTGTGTGAGTTTTGTGTACTCAACCATAAAAACACGTAAGGCATGACAGTTGGTTTAATGAGCCGAAAGAATATGGGTCCTGTCAGCTATTTATATAGGTGAACAAGAAACGAAAGAAAAGCGACCATTTTACGGTTATGGCAGTAACATAAATAATATGGCTTAAATCAAGAATATTTTCTTAAGAATATAGTACAGTTTGTAAATGTTTAAGTTTTAAACTGGATAAAAAAGGATGAGAAAAGAAGTAAATAAAAATAATTAAACTTATTTAATAATGAAATTTCAAAGCAATTAACAGCATTCCCAACAATCAAGAATATTTTTTAAAATCAAAGCATCAACCTGCTGAAATTCTAAAAATTTGCAAGGAAAAGCAGCAAAGCTCTGTACGCACTTTACCGAAAAAACTTGACATGAAACGATGATCAATTTGATATTATCTGGAATTAATTTTGACTTGCTGCATATCAATTTGGTATGCTCGAAGTGTGCCGTTCACCCCCACACTCATGTAACTTTAAGCGCTATCTTGCTCTATTTTATACTTCTCGCTCCGACTCACAAAGTTTATGTCGCCATATCGCATTTTCTTCACTTTTTCGAAGTCAGAGAATTTCCGAGAGAGGAATCGCCAAAATGATATTATTTAATATCAATTTTACCAGTATTGTATAAGCATGACTCTTAAAAGAATTATAATACGGTATTTTTCCCCAGTGTGGCTATAACCGTATTCTACCGTAAAACATTTTTAGTACGCCGCGCTAAGACTTAACTTAAATTTAGCTTCCCTTTTGGCCACCTTTTGAGCAGTTCAAAAGAGATTTACTTTACTTTATGTAATGCCCATGTCCCCATTCAGTTTCTGTGCGAAAGCAGCCAAAGCTGTGTACTTAAACCGCATTTATCCCTCGGGATGGCATGACCCCAAAAGTGTTGTGGAAAGTAGGGAGCTCTGGGCAGCGTCTGTGTGTCTGCGGCTACTTTCTTCTGGCCCAATCTCCGATGCAGTTGGCCAGAGACTTTTATATAGGGCCTCGGATGCGCAGGCACGTTCTGAGCCATTAGTGTCAGTTCGGGCGTGAGGCTGCTAATGAAATCCCCAGTCAACGGCCATCTAGATGATAAATTTAATGCTCGCCGGTTCATTAAACTATTGCAATGCTTAACCCCAATGATTATCGGCTTAGCGATTGCGATTCGCCTTTATCACGCGGTCCCAGACAAAAGCACTCCACCAGGCGATTATGCAAAAGGGAAAGCGAGGGAAATCAAGGGGTGAGCTAAAAGGAAAATGGGGAAAATGGCGAAGGGTAAATGCTGCGTTTGATGGCTTACATAATGACTCCCCAAGGAACACTTGTTGTTGCTGCAGTTTTCGCAATCTCGACACGAGTTGTGTGTCCTCTATTTAACTTTGATTAAATTTTCGAATTACGTCCCGAAAGCATTACTCATACGCCACGTGGGTCCCCTTCTCGGGCATTGGAAGAGCAAAGCCAATCAATTTGCATCACGCGGACTGAAACTGCCTGTCAATTCCAATAAGCCCGGCCCTCAAAACTTAAGTGAACAGTGTGTCCTGCCAAAAGCAAGCAAGTTTTTTATTATTCTCTCAATTTTTCCATCTGCTTCTGCAGCTACATAAGTTTGATAAGGGATCTGTGCCTGTGACAGCCCAGTTGGTCCTTGGCCTTACTTTAAAACTTTTAAGAAAATCAGTTGGTACCCAATCAAGATGGTATTTAAAAGCACAAGTCGCAACATTGTTCTGAGCTTATTCTCCGGAAGAGTCTTTCATGTAGAAATCCCTTTCAAGCCTGCCTTACAAGGCTTAATTTAATTGTTACATGAATAATCTTCTGATGGCTTAAGGGAATAATATTAAATGTAACAGAACTTTAGACATTTAGTCTTTCAAAAGATATGAATAAAAATTTAACTTTCATTACTGTAAAAATACAAAGTTGAATTTACTTATCAATCAATGTTTAAAAGCCAAGTCAGTCAGAAATCCTCGCATATCTCCCTGACAAGCCGGATAAGCAGATTGCGTTATCATCCGCTTAGCTGAAGCTCGGATTTCTGGAACCCCTCGGAATTGGCACACGTGTGTGCACATGTCCAAAGTCCTCCAGGACCCCGGGATCCTTCAGCCTTTCAGCCGCCCACACACAGCAGCTCGTGTCACTTTGCATCGCCATAAAAGCGGTGGGCGTCATAAATAAACCGCTCTGTCGGTGTAAAGTAAACTGCGACGCAGTAATTACAAGTTGATGGCAAAATGTGAGAGGTGTCGGTGATATTGAGAGAAAAATCAAAAGCCAAAACAGGAAACACGGCAAACACGTACAAGCGAAATCAGCAGAGCGTAAAATGATTGCTGAAATAGGTGGGAAAAAACAGGAAGGAAGCACAGCAACAACTTGGCCAACATGCAACAGATGTATGTTTTTAGTATGTAAGTATGTGTGTGGGGTGTAAGGTGTTACAGGATAATCGCTATATCGAAAAGTGTAGATTTTTCAAATAGGAATCCAACAAAGAAACGGCAGCGAAAAATTCAAATTATGTGCTCACCGCCCGGGGAGGGATAAATATAAATGGGTTAAATGGGGTCGAACGCCTCCAACACTGCGACATGGCGAAATAATGGAAATTTATGCCAGCAAGGGGAAAGCCCTTGCCCTACGAAAATGCAAATGTTAATTACAAGCGGCCGCCAAAATTAGAATTGTGCGCGTTTACCATGAGTAATACGTAGGTGTATGTATGTATGTGTGCCTCGACTGTGTGGATGTGCGATGTTTTTGTATGTGTGCATCAGAGCGGACCTCAGTTTTAGGTTCTAACAAAATACTTATTTACATAATATACACATAAATGGGAGACTGTATTTAAAAAATCCTGCCGGATGAAAACAAAAATAATTTTGGTATGGAAAATGTTATATTTAATTGTTATAGCCTTTATGGTAGTAAGCTAGTAATATATTTTAAATATTGTTATTTTTAGATTAGGCTTTAAAATGACCAAAAACAATGCATGTTTTTATTGAGTTTAATCTGTAGTGTAGTATTTTATCATGAATATTTTTTTTTAGAGGTCCACCCTTGCGAATGTGTGCCCAACGAATATTTTATGATATATGCAGACGCTTTTCTTCTGAACTTCTTTTGCATAAATTACCTTTTCGTTGTTATTTGGTTCGTTTTAAACGTTGTCAAACAAATAAGGTAAAGAAAGAGAGATAGAGAGAGAGCGAGAGTTAAGTCTTTGTTTCAAAAAACGAGCAAAGTATCGAAGGCAGAGTAAATTGGTTTCGCTTTGAGGCGGGCTATAAAAAAACACAAGGTAAAGTACATCGATGGACAGTTAATAGGCTTGAGAAGTAATTGATTAATTCAAAATTAATATATTTACACACACACAGAGAGAAATAGACAGAATGAGTGTTGTTAGCTGGTTGGTGCTTGGCTTGGCATAGTTACCCATGTTAAGTTAACGTGCGCCTGACGGTATGCTATGATTTCTGCCACTGCTCGCAGCGGCTCTTTGTTGTTGCTGCTGCAGTTAGTAGTAGCTGTTTTTGTTGTGGGGATTCTCTATTTATGGTTTTACATTTTTCTTGTACTTTTCGTTGTTCTTGTAGTAGTAGTAGTAGTAGTTGTTGCTGTTGTTGCTGTGGCCTATTGTATTATTTACACAAGATTTACATGAATACACATAGAGACACTTACACTTAAGCATGCACATCTATAAATACGTATTGGGTTATAGAGCTATTTGCATAGGTATTTGTGGCATGCTGAAGTTATATAATTTGGCCAAGACTGTAGACTGGTTTTTATAGACACACACACACACACAAACAAATCGCCGTGGCTCAAATGTCATTGAAAACTATTTCGTTCGCCTTGCAGAAGAGCTCAAAAAACATTCAACTCACACACACTTTCGTGGCGAAAAAATAGAGGGAAAACCTTGACAACTAAGCAACTGCAGACCCAGTTCCCAAAGCTTGGCCAGGTGACTGCTGACTTGGGGGAAAATGTCTAGAAAAAAGCGGACACTAAGCAGTGTCTTAGTGTTACACTTGGAAAATAGTAAAGGATTAGGTGGGGTGAATTATAAAAAGAAGTATCTCTACAGAATTCAAATAAATATCTTAATATAAATAAGTATTTTCATAAATATCTGTCTCAGTGGTTTTGGTGGGGATATTGGAAGACATTTTTTGTTGCATAGTTTTTAATTTTAATTTTTGTTTTTTTATGAAAATAATTCACTATTTTTTTTGACTGTAGCCATGCCATTGTACGACTTGTGGTGCACTCATCGATCCCCGCCTTACTAGCCACTTTCTTGACCCACTTTCGTTGTTACGTTTTGCCGAGGCTCCCCCTTTCTGGCCAAGTAATTACCTTTGAGCCGGAATTCGTTTTTAAAATTTCATGGCATTTAAATGTATAATTCTGCACGAGCTGCTTCTGACGGGCCTAATAAGCCTAATACTAAGGATTGTGGCCATTACGTTCGGGCAGGTCTTCATGGTTTCGAGAGCAGAGGTAAACAGAGCCTGAAGCCACGTGGCATTTAATTAAGGAAATAGCTGAAAGGCCGAAGGAGATTTGTGGTAGTTGTGGCCATTAATTACGAACTGACATTACATCTAAAGTTGCTTTGAACTTCTCTTAACTTTTCTGTTGCAAAGCGGTTTTTATTCCCTGGTAAATGGTAGCCACTCACTCATCCAAGTTGCTCAACTGCTGAATAATGGATTTGAACGGTTTGGCCCAGATATATATGGATTAAAGCCGTGCGGCCTTCAACTCTTCTGCCGTGGTTTTTTTTTTGTGGGACATTCTTTGTAGTTATGCAATCCACAATCAACTATTTTTCTTTTTTTTTGCCAAACAAAGCCAGTTCGTGAGCCTTTTGGCTGGTTGGCGAGTGTGAGAGCGTGACATGAATCACACTCGTACACTGCACAACAATGACAGCAACAATAGCTGGTCATATCAGCCAGGGCCAAAAGAGGCACCTCGTGTGAGTGTGTGGCAGTGGCAGTGGCAGGCATCAAAATAGCAGCAGTTGGTGGAAAGGAAGGGGGTGTATTACCAATAACCAGAGCAGCCAAAGCGGCTGCAAACGTGAAATGAACTAGGAAAATGCATTAAAACAGGCCGTTGGGTTTTAATGAAATTTTCGATTGCCTGCTTTTGGGCGAGTGCAGTTCTTAATTGCATTTCCCTAGGCTCGTCTGCTCAACCCGATCGATAAAATCGTATTATTCCATTACGCACGCTGCTCTTATTCCACGATGAATTCAATTAGAAAGTGTGTTTTCCTCCATCGAATAAGTTAAATAATAAATAAATAAAAACATGGTAATGGTATGGCACGCTACTTTTGCACGCGCTTATTTTTATGGCTCTTGTTTTTCTAGCTACCATCTACCATCGGTATTTTGGTCGAGGAATATCAAGGGTAACACACACGCACACACATAGAGAGAAAAGAGGGTGGTAAAGAGGCGGGGATGGTATAAAAACATAGATAAGACAGGCAAAAATGCTTGTGGAGGCCAGTTCCACACGTTTGTTATTTCAAACCGCTGGCTCCCACAAACACACACACACACACACTGGTACTCTCACGCACACTAAGTCTGATTTCGTAAGAGTATAGCTTTTTTTGAGAGTATGCGTATGTGTGTGTGTGGCCCGTCAGACAGTCTCTATGCTGCGTTGTGTCGTCATCAAGTCAGCCTCCTCCTTGCGGAACACACCCACACACTCACATGCATGTGGGCTTCACCTGCCCACAACTCTCACACATACACTGGCAAACGGCCACAGGACACAACAAAGTTCATTCAATAAAAGCAAACACAAACACACAAACGCACACAATACATGCACGGTGCGTGACGCTAGCGAGGATTTTTTCAGCGTTCAGCGTAGAGCTTTTTTGATATTTTTTCAGCCCTTTCGATTCCGCACTTCACGATCCACACAGCTGAGAGTTCCGCACTTGACTGACGGCGGTGGCCAAAACTCAGGCCAAAGCCAAAATCAAGCCCCCAGCTGTCAGTCTTGGAGCCTGCGCAGTGGCTCCGCCCCTCACCCACCCACACGCACACTTTGACATTTGCTGCAGTCAAAAAAAATCATGTGGAAGAAGTTTAGAATTAATAATTTTTATATGAAAAAAATAAATTATATTAATGCTTAATAAAAAACCATATGAAAGAAAAAGATTTTATACTCTTAAGATCAATTCTTTTTAAGTTTTCTTTTTTCTTCAAATTTGAGATTGGTTTAACCAAAATGATTTACAAGTTTCCAACATTAAAGGTAGGACGTTAAATTAATAATTAATTTATATGTAGTTTTAAGTAAATACCAAACTTACCACTTTCCACGACGAGCACGGCGGTGACGAACTCGCAAAGAACCTCCTGATGTCTTTGCAGGCGATCCCTGGCCACTAGGACCCTCTCCAAAAGATAGCCGAGCATGAGGATCTCAACCTTCAGGATGGCACAAACATCGATGAGCTTGCGCACATCCAAGCGCTCCAGGGTGGATCGATTTCCCACCATTCCGCTGGCCAGCTGAGCCAATTGTCCTTTCTTCTGCTTCGGGGATCGGCGTGGGAAGGCAGGATCCCTACAGCAGCGCCTCATTCGCTTGGCCAACTGTTCCTGCCGGCCGTAAATGTCGCACAGCAATGCATCGAGTAGCTTCTTGGTTTCACTAGAGGACGGCACTCCGAATTTCCAGCTATCATAGATATGCTAATATGGCTCACCTCATTTTGTCGACTCGATGATAAGACTCAGCAGTTGGTGGCTTACTTTTAATTTGAACGATTGCATTGGTCTTGAGTTAGCTGTGTATTTTTTTAATTTTTTCTTTTTTTTACAAAAAGCAAACCGATAACTTAAATTAACATAACAATCAAAGACAGTGTCGTTTGGGTGACTTCATAGAATTATATTTATTTTTTTTTGCTTTCCTACATTTGTAAATTTGTTATTGATAGATTTGTTTAAGGTTGCTTAATAAGGCAAATGTTCGGAGAAAGATGCATCACTTGTTGACCGGAATAAAATTTTAAAATGGCATAGAAATCGGTAAAATTGTGTATAAAGTCTAAAACGATTTGAGCGGGATTTGATTGGAATCAAATCTTAGTAGAAGGTGCGATCAATGTGGGTGTTGAGGGAGAAATTGCGATACATGCCGAAGCGAACGACTTCGTTGGAGAAATTCTGGGGAAGTGGATAGAAGCGCTTGGGAATGGTATAGGCGTTGGGCGCATAGTAACCATATTCCGAGTTGCAGGTACGGTACATTGTATTGGGGTCTGTCTCCACGCCATAACCCTTGAAGCTGTCTGTTAAGAAAATGTTTAATAATATTAATAATCGGTTTTTGGGGAACAAAGATCCTCCCACTCACAGGGACACTTGATGTCCTCCCGCTTGTGCAGATTCTCGTAGAGTTGGGCAGTCCTCACGATGGGCTTGCGTTTTTGAAACTTGGCAAACTCAACCTCCGGATTGAAGGTCTCAAACTTGTCACAGTACTGTTCGCACATTTTCTCAAACTCTCTCTTAACTGATGGAAAATTTAATAATAATATTTAACGCGACGGTGTGTGCTGGGCTGAACCAACAAACAGTGCCTAATGCTATTGAACCAACGGGACAACTGCCAAAGAGGTTGCTATGTTTGAATTTTGACAGTCGACCGGTTTGGGGGAACTTTCACTCGTACCCCAAAAGTCACAAATTTCAGCGCCTGCGCATGGCTAACCGCTTTTGACAGCTCGCGTGACAGTTGTGGCCTGGCCAACCCACCCCGCAGAAAATACACAAAACTTAACTCAACACACAACAATTTCCTGCAAAGTTTGCTTCACGATGTATAGGATGTGCAATCTATCGAACCTGCTGAACTTCATCATCTGCATAGCCAGCTTCAGCCAGACCTTCGACGGAACCCTGGCGCTCAAGAGGGGTCCACATCATCCTCGGGGCGAAACTAGGAGAGTGGACCAGCATCTCACCCATGAGGAGCAGTAAGTGGGGGTGGGGTGCGTAAAAATTGTTTAAATTTCAAAATAATAATTTTTTTAGTCGCATCGATGACGATCTGAAGGACATGGGAGTGCAGGCCAATCTGGAGGATTTGAGCGAAGAGGAGAAAATCTTTTACATGTTCAAGGTAGACCCTTAACTCACCTATAAAGAACAGTGGGTCCAACTAATTTGTTTCATAATTGTAGGCCCATGACAATGACAATAACAATGCACTGGATGGCCTCGAGATGATTCAGTCCGCGATGCATCACAACTATGACTATTTCAAGAACAACGAGCGGGATGAATACCTACAAAATGCCACCGATGAGCTGGAACACTTTATTGGTACGAACTATTTGACAATTAATTACATCACATATTATATTTACTTGTTACGTTATATTTTTTTGTATTTTCCAGAGGCCATCGACAAGTTTTTGTTGATTGCGGATGACAACAACGATGGCCTGCTGCATTATCCGGAATTCGTAAAGGCCATAACTGGTGGCAAGGATCAACTGAATGTTGATAGGAATATCCTGCGCTAATCCCACCAACTCCCCGATTAGCAGTCCTCAACAAACCAAAGCAACCGAAGTAGACACAATAATAGAAATAGCATAGTTAAAATATTTAGCAACTAATCTGATTTCCATGCTGAACCATTTGAGACTGTACACCACAAGCAGAAAACCAAGCACTAGACTGCACCTCGTTTGTACTACAATCTAATGATTTAATATACATTTAAATAGATACATAAATAGTGCATTTTAATTGGGTAACTCTAGAGCAATCCATCACAGGACTGGGTTGTGTTGCAGGCCGATCCTTGAAAGCCATCGTGGGCGGCTCTCTCCATCAGAACGATGAGATCGTTGTAGCGCGCTTTCTCTAAAGGCGCACTGTAAATAAATAATAAAATAAGAAGATTAACTTTAGTTCTCAATACAATTTTGAAGCCAATAAAATTGTATAACGTTTTAGAATTAGAATTATTACTTTAAGAAAGAATTAAGTTTTTAATCATCGATTAACATTAATGATCTCTTTAGGAAAGAGTATTTTTCATTACCCTTGGAAAATTTCAATGGCGCCCAAAAGAGAACGTCCTGCCTTCGCGTATTCATAGGCTGCCGCCGGGCAGGCACAGGATGCTGCATATAGACACTCATCTCTACCGGCTCCTTGGGCGGCCAGAAATCCAGTTATCAGATAGTCATCCCCAGAAGTTAGGCCCAAACCAAAGTTACTGTCAGCTGAGCGACCATGGCCATAGCCATAGGCACTCCAGTGTCCCGCTCCCAGCATTCCAGCTGAGAAAATGAGGACTTTTAGCAGAATGATGATCAGCAGATTGGTGAGATTCAAACTTAGGACCTAGGGAAAAATTAATTAAATTAAATCGGAAGCAAGAAAGACAGCCCAAATGTTTTCATTGTTGAATCTTTCACCCACTTGACTGTTGCCGGCCGATCGATGCAGCAGTTCCTTGGCCACCTGGATGACCACATGACCAGCTGGACTGCCGATCATACTGTTGGCACTTCTCAGCCAAGAAATCGGTCTCTCCAGGGAAGTTACTCCTCCATAGAAATCATCGTCGCTGCTGGAGTTCGATATACCGCCATTGTCCGAATCCAGGTCGTAGTTCTGCAGCTGATAGCTGGCTGTCTTGGCAAAATGTACGAAACATATCGTAACCAAGAGAGTGATGATGATGATGTAATCCCCGCCTGGCTGTGGCATCTTGAAGATCGCGTGATTGTCTTTATCGGTCTGTATCGGATGTGACGCGAATGACGACTAGTTTTGGGCTCCGGGAAGTGCCTGGTTTTTATGGATTTCATGGCACCGATGTTACGCCTTGGCAGGTAGGCGAGGAGATTAGTCTGCAGGCCTCGTTGCACTGGAAAAGCGGATCGGGAGCGAGAGTGTTTTTCCTGGTGTCATTAGCCTGAAAATGCCGCAGACGTTTTTCCGCCCGGAGGATTCCCTAATGTCAATGCTAACTCAATTCCGCAGGTAAACGCACGCGAAATTGTGCGTCGAGTGGAAAACAATTTGTGTCTTTGCTTTTGTATCAATCATCAACTCATTTATTGTTACTTTGGTTTTATTTTTGTTTTTCTTAGCCATTGCAATTGCCGCTGTTCATTGGAATAAGTCGTAGTATATATATATATAGATTTGCAGTAAATTTGTGAGTACCGAATGTGAGTGGGTGTAGCCCGACTCCCATCGTTTTTTTTTTGGGATTGATGCTTGAGGGACTGGGATTTAGGGACTTCAGGGGGGAGTTGAATCAATTACAGACAACATATAAGTACATATTTCTTGCTATACTTTCACAATAATACGAGTATTTATTTGGTATATTTTGCAACAGATTAGAAGTCGTGTAAGTATACGCTTTATGCTTGAGTATTTCGTTTGAGTTTCAATTTATGTATTCAGCACTTTCTGTTCATTTGATGCACGATATTGTTATGGGGCGAGTGAGTTGTGGGTCTAGTGCCATGATATATGTTTGTCGAATTCCTCGAATGACGCCTGTATTTATCTATGTACTTTCTGTTCTACATTTGTCGTTATAAATATATGTTTATAAAACATTCCGTGAATATGTGCCAGTTCGATTAAAATGATGATGTTTACGATTACGAAAAAGTACTTGTAGCCAAAGATTCACTTATAATTACATACATATTTTGTATATATACTTGTATATAGATGGTAGGATGATATAGAATGAAGTAACCGGGCGTTGGCCCTAATCAAAAACAATAGTTATTCAATATACTTGTATAGTTGTACATTTGTTTAGATTAAAATATCTGTAGCATTCCCGAATGTAGATTCTACTAAAATCGAAGAGAGTTTGTAAATTAACAAGTTTCCAAGTACCTATTCTTGTGTTATATTCCTCAGCATATAACGATATTTAAAATTCTCTAATGCAATTAGTTGATAAAAGGGAGAAGTATACAACCCAATTGAAATGATTTCAAGTCGAACGCGTAACTATTACTTCAAATATAACATATGTAAAATTGTCTATTGCTCTAAATAATGCTTAAACATGTGCGTAACAAAAGACATTTATCAAACATTTGTCGCTAAATCATAGTCCTAACGAATTGAAGCTATTGTTTATACTTTGAATGCATAATGTGACTTCGTTGTTGTCGCTTGCAACATTTATAAATATTTTCTTGTGTATATTATCTAAATGTTCGTCAATATCATCGCCTCCATCTGACATCTGCTCATCTCATTCCTCGACCTTCGTGTACCGACTAAGCCGTGTAAATTTATGTGGATCGCATGGGATCGCTAGTTTTTCGAATATGCTTGGTTCGTTATTGTTGTCCAGTGGGTTCAGCCTAGATTAACATTGCTTGTCGTGCTTGGTACTTTCAATCTTTCCATATCTCTTAGCCCTCGATGCAGGCCTGTCTTGTTTGTAAACATTAACTGCTAATACATCGTAATAATAATCATAATATTTGTGGTAATAAACATTTACTTTGTGTGTGAGTAGCTTCTGTCTCGTGTGTCTTTGTGTTTCGCATGTAACATTTGCTCATAGTAATTTCCGAATACATTTAGTTCGTTAACCGATTTATCCATTATAATTAGATCGCGTATATATTAGTATTAAACGTTTGGTTGTTTGTTATACTTTGCGCATATTGTCTTTTATGTTATATAGTTTTTAGGATTTCATATGTGTCTCATGTTGGTATATAACAGATTCATTAATATTTGATTTATTAAAAAGTTGTCCCATTGATTCATTAGCAGGTTAACATGTAATATATGCTTGCGAATACTTTTAATGTCATCAACTCTCAATTGGTTTAATATGTCGCTATATAATTCAATATTTTTCTCAATAATATATTTAATATATAATTTTGTTTGCTTTGGAAAATGTTTCAAAATGTTTTTAAGTATGGTAATTAAATAGGTTCCTCATTCCTTACGTTTTATCATGCTGCAAAACCAGTCAAGTCATCGGCGACATTTCATTGCACATATCTAATGGGCTTTGCATTATTGTTGTTGCATTGGTGGTTATAATTATATGTTAGTAGTGTACTACAGTGTCTACATAGCATTTTCCGCTGCTTCTTCACCTTTTTCTTTATGTCTTGATGGCAAACGAAAGGAAAGTGTTGCGATCAGTAGATAGTTGACAGTTGAAACGATAGTAACCCAATGAATGTGGTCTTCAGTGAGTGAGTTTGTATGCTAAGTGTTTTTCCCATGAAACCAGGAAACTTCAGAGGCAGAAAATAGATAGATTTCCATAGTTTGCTCGTCTTAGTGTGTGTGTGTGTTAGGTGATGGTTCTACTTTGGAATCAATTTCGGATTCACTTCAAGTCCAGTTCCTCGTCCTCCTCCTTGCTGGCACTCCAGCGCTTGGTATGCGATCCAATGCTGCTCATGCTGCCCGAGTCGCTGAAGTCGCTGAATGCCGCATTCTGGATGCCCTCGTAGATCTTATAGCCGCCCGATCCGGTTCCGTTTCCGGAACCCACTCCGCTGGAGCTCATGCTCATGCTCTTGGCGGCCCCGAAGCGATCGCTCTTGTAGTTGGAGGGCGGTCCTCCGAAAATCATATCAGCATCCGAGATGGATCCCGCTGCCCGAGTGTATTTGCCGTTTCCATAGGATGCCGGGGTGGTCTTGGTGTCCCCGAAGATGACATCCAGGTCGGAGTGTTTGGAAGCTGCAAAATTTGGGAACGTAAGTAAAATCAAAGAACTTATAGGTCGGCTACCAGTGCACATCGATTTGGCGTGGGTGCAATTATTAGCACTTATCTTTAGCACTACGTTTTCCAATTCTATTACTTCTATTTACACAAAGGGACGATCGAAAAAGTAAGCTTTAATCTTTATTCTATCTAATCTGAGGTTATCTATTAAATGTGAAAAAATACAAGTGCAAAGCTAGAAATTAGAAGATCTAATTTATCTCAAATAAATATTTTCATTGAGTTTCAAAATTATATTTTTGATCTCATTATACGACTTATCGTTCGATCGTCTTTTGCATATTTAATACTTGACTTTTGGTGATGGAGGATGAGCAAAATGAGCGTTACCAAAAACAAGCATTATCAATATGTGAATGAATGACAATGAATATTTCGAATACTTCGGATTCTCGGGCGACTTTCGGACCAAGTACTTGATAGCAGTTTTCTGCGGCTCATCTTTTGATAACTCTGCATTTACTGCAATACGCACACACACACTCTAGAACTGAAAAGGGGGTTGCATCAACATAACTAATGAATTTGGTATTTTCTAAAAGCTTTGATTACTCTTGTGGTGTTTTTTTTTTTGGGTATTCTGTTTCTGTTTCTGGGGTTTCTCTTGTTTCTCGTTTGCGTGCCCAAAAAAGCCAGAACTGAACTCAGATTTGCGGTGCACTCTAGCGAGTGTGTACTGTACGGTTCCTGTTGTTTGTCTTCTGTGGTGTTATGATCTCTGTTTGTGTGTGTGTGTGTGTGCAGGCAAGCGTTTTTTGCTGAGCGATAGAGAGACTTACGAACCCTTCGGCGGCCCACAAGTCGTATACGTAATATTTGGCTTACTCACTGAGCTTGGCTAGGAAAATGAAAACAGTTAGGCTAAGAAACACAACTCCTACATTTCTCGCTTTGGCTAACACTTTGACACGGCTTAATTATTATCGATTACGTTTAGTTGGTCTCTATATACCAGTAATATGATACTTATATATGGGGTGTAGCTGAATTAGTACGATAATGATGAGATTAAATGGCATGATTTATATATATATAGGTAAGTTTATATTGATCCCTAGGTCTTGCGCAGGGTTAGGCTGACCAGCAGTACGCCGACGGCTAGATAATTACCATTGCTCTCGGATCGCGAGTACGAGGGTCGAGTGTACGAGGGCAGATCGCTGGGATTGTTGAGGCCCTCGAGGCCCTGCGAGGCAATCGAATTGGAATCGTAGCCGGATGTGTCACCTGGCAAGACAGTAGTTACTGCAGCCGGTGCACTATAGACACTGGCCGATCGCATCCCGATGGCCGATCGCCAGTCATTGGTGGTCACCGAGGTGGTAATGGTTCCCGCTCCCGTTGCCGGGATCCCAGCACTGTTGCTGATATTGGTGATGGCCGTTATGCCGCTCGCCTCTCCCGCCTCCGTGGCCGTGGCCCCCGTGTTCGTGGTGTTCGTATCCATTCGTGTGATGGTCTCCACCGAAGTGGTGCTGCCATAGTTGCCATAGCTGGTCTTGTCCTTGCTCAGCGAGCTGCTGAAGCTGTTCCTGTAGCCGCTGGAGCTATTGGCATTGCTGCCCGCCCCCACGGCGGTGACATTTGTGGGCGGCGGTGGTGGTGGACCCGCCGGCGGAGGCGGTGACTTGATCGCATTGCCATTGCGATTGATGCGCGACGAGATGGAGGACGAGGACATCGATGAGGACGAGGTGGTGTGTATGCTGGCCGCACTGCCCGACTTGCTGGGCTCCTTGTCGAAGGGATTGACCCGCTCCTGCTGCTCGTAGTTGGTCACCGGCTGGTAGCTACCACCGGCGGCACCTGCTCTTTCCGTATCCGTATTTGTTGTACCGCTAATCGAAACGCTGCCCTCCGGCCGGACGGCTGAGCTGGCCGTCGCCGGAACTGCTGGGGGCTCTTCGCTGGGGCGCTGGGTGGGCTGTGTGGAGATCACACCGCCCTCCGGCCCGCCCTTGCCGGCGAACGAGAACTGCTTGCCGAGGAAGGAGCCGCTGAAGCCGCCGCCGCTTCCGCTTCCGCTCCCTGTCCCCGGTCCCGCGCTGCTGGGCACACTGCCCGGCCCGCTGCCGCTGCTCGTCTCGCTGGCCGTTCTGCCGCGCTTCTTGTTAGCGATTTCCTACATGTCACCAAAGATCCCCGCAAAGGTCTTCCTCAGGTTCTTCATGGTGTCCTCGGCGTCCTCGACGACGGAGCTCTGGGTCTGCGGCGGAGCCCTCTGGCCCGCCACCCGCGACACCGAGGAGGAGATGGTCGAGGCCTGCGACGTCTGCGAGTCGCGCCGCACGCCGCCCACTGTGCTGGGTCCCGAGGAGGAGGGCTCCTCCGGCAGCTCCGAGATGCTGCTGCGACTGCTCAGCCGCCCAATGGAGCCCACGGCGGGGGAGGTGCGCTCCGGGATCGGGGGTGGGCCGCCCATGGGCGCGGGCCTCGGTCCGGCCGGGAGCGGTGGTGTGGGGGCCATGCCCTCATCCGTGGGACTCTCCGCCCGCGAGGAGACCGAGGAGCGGGAGGGCAACTTGCCGGGTCCCGTCTGCGCCATGCTGGGACGGCAGACATTCTGAAATAATTATAGTAATGCGGATTAATACTATTTAATACTTAAAATATACAGTTATTTGTTTCTTTATGTTCTAAATATGCATTTTAAAAAAGAAACTAAAAATTTGATTTGGATTTATTTTGCTTTCAGGGCCTTGGATATTTCTATTTTTTACAATCGCAAAATGTTAATTTTCCTATTATTTCTTAATTATGTTAATAGCATATGATAAGGCTAGTCGATATAAAATTAAACCAAGTGAATAAATTTAACAGTTTATTTAAAAATCACAAAAAACCAAAAATTGTATCTCCTTTTATACCATAAAAACATAAATTTATATTTAAATTCAATATTACAAAAAAATATTTCAAAAGTAGAGTAATTTTATAAAATACCCAAGATACAATTTGTATTCCTATTTTCCCGATAGTTCCTAGATTTTATAAAATTTTTTTTTTTTTTTAAAAAAAATTTTTGGGGAAAGTTTTTTTCGTATTTTTGAAAAAAGAGGGGGTGGTTTGGGTAGAAAGGGAGGGACAGAGGGAGGGACAGACGGACAGACGGACGGACAGACGGACGGACAGACGGACATACTCGTCTAGTGATGCTTATCAAGAATGTATACGCATTTTAGGTCAACTTCTTTCTTTCACACTTTGAAAATTGGAATTAGTTTTTTTTTAAATTTGCATTTCAACCTAAATTTCTTGATTCCCAACCGATACGATACGAACCTGCATGCGTCCCGATACCAGATCGGCTATTTGCCGGCGGTCCTCCTCCTGGGTGTCTCCGATCAGGGCGAATGTGCTGTCGCAGGCGCTGATGATGTACTCGCGTCCATCTTTGGCCACCACCACGGAGAGACCACACACTTCCATGCCGCCAAAGAGCTCCGATATCTGAAAGTGATACGAGCAACATGGCGATTAGAATTGCGATTGAGTCATCGTGACCCTAAAATGTGTTTTCGATTGCCAGTGCAGTCAGACGGCAATCGGCTCAAACATTTCTGTGTGGGATTCCGCCAGTTTCCAGTGCCGGTTTTAATTACACAGTTTGTTTTGATTAAAGCTAACGCTAAAGCTCATTCTGATGCTGATTCCGACTTGCCCAGAATTGCGATGACGTCGTCAACGGCCCACCCACTTTAACGTTGCACTTGCGAAAACCATTAAACTGCATGCCAACATTTATACATTAAATGATATATTTTTACGACGATTTGTTCCTTTAATATCTCCCGATTATAAGACAATAAATTAGGTTAAGACTTTAATTACTTGATCAGAATGTAAATCACTAGTAAACACACAAGTAGGAAAAATATTGTGTAATTGAAAAACAAATTATATATTCTCTACAAAACGTTACTTTAGCAGATAAATCCATTAAATTTTTAAATCATCCAAGAACACGTGGGTTTTTACTATAGAAGTATAATTTTTAGCAAATAAAATAAAATTTTACATAATGTTTTCCTATTTATAACTAATAGCTATAGTTTTTTTTTCGGGGTTTTTCAAAACATTTTTTTCTGAATGTAACTTAAAACTGCTGCCGCCTTATCTAATGAATGAGGAATATTTTTGCGCCAGGAAAAGGCAATTAATTAATGCACTTATGCAGTGCCATTGGGTGAGTCAGACGAGACTCAAAGGAAATCGAGTTGAGCATTCGCATTGATAAAATGCCAAATCTGATGGGTTTCCCATGTCTCCAAATGCTTGCAACCTCATCTGGCAATTATGAGGCGCTGTCGTAAAAACTGTTTGAACGCAAACTCCCGTTACCTCCTCGTTCATTGGCGGCTAAATCCGTTAAACTGTTTTGAGATTTGCATATTCATGAGCTCTAATTAAAGTTGTGCCGCCGCTCGAGGGCACTGCAAACTCGGCCGACGTCTGACGTCAGTGGAATATGATTTTTGGGACCGGGTCTATTTGTCGGTTCTCCTTTGGCCACCCCCTCAGGGAGAATCGAAAAGCAGCCGAAATCAAATTTGTGCACCCAAAGTGCCGCAAATAATTTAAAGCGATTTTCCTTAGCCATATTGATTGGCCAAATTTGATAAATGTGAACTGAACTCAACTGGGCTAAGCTAAGCTGAGCAGCTTGCGACTAGATTTCCACGAGTTGGCTGAGAATTCGAGGCAGTAACGGTAATGTGAGCGGGTTTTTGGGCCATGTAAGGAAGCTGGAATTCATTCGGTCATGAGATGCTCTTATAAAAAGATTGTATTTAACTTAATATGACAAATTGAGAAATAATCATGCATTAAAAATGTATTAAATTTTGTATAACACATACTTACTGCAGAATAAATAATGCTTATCTTTGCATTTAATTACAATATGTAAAGTAAAATTTAAATTGTTTTTAATTTGTCTTATATTTAATCCTTTTTATTGTCCAAAAATACCTATTTGCACCATACCCTATACCTATTGCACTCAAAGTCGGTGGAATTTTGCAACATTAATTCCCCGCATGATGATTTCGACTCGATGACTTACCTCATCCACCCAGCTTTTGTACTTCTCGGTTAAAGTGATTTGCTCCAGCATGGCGGAGCCTTGATTGGTCTTCCAATTGCCGGTGATGGATTTGCGCCTGTTAAAGAGCGAAAGCGGTTGAGCATGGCATAATAAATTAAGCGGCGAAAAGAGCGTAGATAATGCGTTTGGAGGGGGCGGTCTTTAAGAGAGATCTTTGAACCCGTCACCGGCATTTCGGCCGGCTGAAAACAAAAACACATCGAACTCTTGCCGCTGCACTTGGTAGGATAATTGCCAATTGCAAAGCGGTCGCTTTTGTGTCTGCCGTCTGGTGTCTGCTGACAGTTGCAAGGTCAGGCGAACAGCAGACCAGCAGACCACTCGACCTATCCCATCCTGTGGCATTGCGGCTTTCAGTTTCAGTCTGCGGTCACTTACATAAATGCCTTGTAGTTGTTGCCAATCTTCTGGATGTGCACGCTGAACTTGGCATCGATATAGGGCTCGATGGTGCAATAACAATGCGAATCGTTGCCGGCACCGCTCACCAATCCGGCGGCATCTTGTAGGGCGCTCTGGTTCTCCAGGCGAGCGGTGGCCACGCCGCCGTGGCAATGCCCAGCCTTCAGCACGCTGGGGAACTTGGTGAATTGGAACTGCAAGTGCACGAAGAAAAAAGGGATATTAATTACCTAGTATTTTTTAAAAATTTGTTTTTCCTTGGGGATCTCACAAATATGTAGAATTTATAAACCAAAAAAGAATTTTTAAATGTTACGAACCAATTTTGCATAAATGTCTGTCACTCTTAAATTTTGTTTTAATATTCTCAAAATAAATTCAAGTTAGTAATCATATTGTGGTCCTGATAGTCCACATAAGTCTATTTTTATAATATATAGCTTAAATTGTTTTAAAAAATTTCTGTCATAAACCAAGGTGGAAATAGGTTTAATTAAATCGATAATAGAGATTATAAAAATTTCTTGAAATATTTATTTAATTTTCGTTAATGATTTATTATAATGTCTGAAATATGCATATATGCATTTAAATTAATTTAGTTCACATTTCTCTCTGTGTGGAAAATAAAGACACCGAGGCAATCACAATCCGTATTTCGCTGTCTGATTCGAATTCTATAAATTACAATACGCCGATGATGGCACTCAAGCTCTTTGCTTCTTCCTTTTTTATTTTCTGCGGAAATAACGAGAGCGATGCCTATTAATCCATTGGATGTGTGCCAAATTCATTGTGTATTTTTGCTCGAGTTCCGATTACTAATCTGGCCATGGAAATTTTCTTTGATTTGCCTGCCCATTTCCAAGAATCCCCGATCATTACTCAGGCAGAGAAGTATTTATTAATGGCGCATGCAAATCGCTATAAAATATGTAAAGGCTTCCAAGCTCCCCGCCCGCAAACATTTGAACGAGTCGCATTTTATTAATTTTACAGCATTGCTCATGGTTATTATATTTATATATGCAAATCGGCAGGCGATCACCCTTGTTAATCATCTCCCCCAGAACCGTATTTAAACAGTTGATAAATCACAAGTAAACACATGGGCTTAATTTCGAGTATTGGCAGAGGATAAATAAATCATAATAAAACCGAAAGGAAAACCATAACAACGATGACGCAGCCCGAAGAATTGTCGCAGTTGCCGCCGATGAGGGACAATCGTGCTGACAGAAAAGCCCAAACAAACAGAGTGCGAGAAATCTCTCAATGAATATAAGTGAGATATATCTGCGATGGATGTGGGATCGGTTATGGACTTATAGTCGACTCGACTCCCTGGTCTGAGAATGAGACGTCACACTCCCACATAGCCGGCATTCTTGGAAGCTGCTACGTATTCCGCTTGAGTGCCCACTGTCTAGGGGCCTGCTCTTCGGTTATATCAGCGAACTTAAAATATGCACCGTGACGCATCCGTAGTGCCCTCAAGGGGGTTCATGGGGAACGGAAAAGGGGGTGGTATTTGTTTGAGAAAGCAATACTCAAGTGCACCAGAAAAAATAAATAATCTATGTATATCGGCATTATTGTGCCGACCATGCTTTTGTTATAGTTATTCAATAAGTTTTTTTGTTGTTTTTGGTGACCGGTTTTGTACTTTATGTTTTGTTTGGCTGGCTCAAGGTCATGGATCCGTGTAATAAAATGTTAAATTTAAAACAAAACATCGATATTCAAGAAGGGGTTGATCAACGTTGAATTTTTTTTGAGGTATCTTAATTTGTATCACGATATAAAATGAGTCTAAAATTTATTTAAAATGTTCCACTTATTAGAGACACTTATAAGTATTTATTAGTTTTAATAGTTGGATAAAAAAAAAAAATTAAAACATTATTTTAAGATTAAAAATCAAATCAATTGCGGCTAATAAGAATAAAGATTGACACAAGATCTTCTTAATTTACATATCATTTGTTTAAAAAGAATAAAGATCGTATTTTTTTTATACAATAATTTATCATGTTGATTTGTTGGAAAAATAATAAATTTCGTATCTTAAATCATATCGGCTTTTTATTGATATGAAATAATGCCACTTTATAAGACCTTTTCTCTCCGTGTGGATCCCATAGTGCGGTGGCGTTAGCGGGTCGGTTTGTTATGCAGATTATGGCAACGTGCTGTAGGTGGAGCGTGGAGTATGATATAAAGCATGACCGGAGCAGCAGCACGTGTGTGCGCCACATGGCCATAGGAAGTGGAAGTGGAAGCTAGCGATCCGCTGGCGACTCTACGTAGCTGCATAGCGAAATTATTAGTTGATTTGCGGTCTGACAGATGCGCTATTTTCTGCGGTTTCGTGTGGCGATGCATCGCCCGATGTCTTTCTCTCATTTTGGCCATGGCGCCAGGTATCTACGAGTATACCGCATAGTATAGTATGCTGCCTATGGCCGAGAGCATAAACCAGGCCCCTGCACGCAATTAATAAAGCTGCCAAGGTAAAATAATGCAGCGAAAAATGCAATCGACTCTCCTCCACTCACTTTCCACTCATTTATGGGGAATTTATGGCGCTTTTGATCGGCCGACTGCCGCGAGAAACACTCAAGCTATACAAATGTACATATGTAGACCCAAAGACTCGGCCGATCGATCTCTCAGTTCCCGAACAACTCGAGTGAGATCTTTGGGGGTTCGGGTTTGGGGCTTCGGTTAAGAAAACAGACGAATCGGTTGACTTGGATCCAGTGCAGAACCGCAAGCGCAGCGAGCTAGAACGCCACAAAGTCGGCGACGGAGAAATCGCGAGATCGGAAATATATTTAATAGTATCGAGTGCAGTCGATTGGCGTGCGAGTGCCGGTGAAAATAGATTTAAACAGTTTTCCCCCATTTTTCGTGCCATTGGGTTCAAGTGTTCAAAGGCCAAAAGTGCATGTTATCACCAGAAATAAGAATTGCAGTTTAAAGGTAACAAAAATCTAGGCTTTTTTGCTTATTTTGATTATAGAAGGCACGATTTAAACATGTTAATTAATTCCATTAATTTCCGCCTTGCAAAGCGTTGATTCAAAAGTTAAATAGCCAAAATCGGTTGCATAAAAAGGTTTTTTTTGGTTTATTTTTCTCTTAATTTTAGTTGTTCAAAATTTTAAATAAAAATGTTTATATAAAATTTGATATTTGCGGAGTTTGGAACTCTAAAAAGTTTCATTTCAAAGGAGAAATAACACGAATAAGTGCCTGTGGCTTTTTGCGTTGAAAAAAGATTTTAATTAAAATTCAATTTCATTTTCTCCCCCCTTTTCCGAATTTTTGTTTATTGCGTTCAAAAGCCAAAAGTGCAAATACCTCCACAAAAACAAGTCGCAACTCATAGGCTAAAAGACAGAGCTGTGTTTTTTAAAACTTTATTTTAGTTTTAGAGTTGTTTGGCATTTAGAAGATTCAAATTGAAGGCATGCAAAACGCGCGACACAGACGCGTTTTTTTCAGGCTATTTAAAACGCGCGCTGGGAAATGTGGCGACGTTGACACAGCGACACAGTTTTCCAACCCAACGCTCATTTCTATTTATTTGCGTTTATTTATAATTTGTTTTTATTTGCCTGCCTTGCATCCGTGTTCCTTGCTCTTTTGGAGCGCCCCCAGTTTCTTCTTCTGGCCTTTCGATTTGTCTTAATAGTTTTTGATGTCGCCAATTTGTAAACAAACTGCAGCCATTAAAAAATATACAAGTCGTTGGGTTGTGCAACGTCGTCTGATCGTAAGGCCCAGTCATATCAGCGGGAAATAAGTAACAATTTTGTTGGATGTCAAGGAAAGTGAGGCCATAGGTATTTCCATATTACGCATACGTCATGTGTGTTTTGGCATTGGCCATTTAATGTCTAAAAATATGGAAGCACATAAAATATTTTCGACTGCTACCACAAAAAACACATAAAATTTACAAGCGAATCCCGGGGGTAGGGAAATCGGCCCGGGGGAAATGCGTGGAAATGCATTTCAAGTGCTTTTCCATTCCCCCTTCTCTTGCCTTAATGCTGTATTTCTCTTGGCACGGCAACTCACATTGTTTCGCCTGGATATTCATAATTTTACCTTCATTTGACTTTGGCTTTGCTGTTGGCTCTTCGTTGTTTGTGCGACATTTAAATGAGCTTGTATTTGTATTGACTTTTAGCTTTTCTGGGAAATTGTTCAATAAATTGCAGCGTTGTCTTTTATTTTCACGTTATGTACAGATAAAAACAAGGTATTATTATTAAAATAAAATTCTTTTTGAATGGGGTGCTAATTTTTGTATTGAATTTAATGTTTGCTTTATTATGGCACATTTAGCCATATGGCACCTTACAATTATCTCCACAACTTATTGGGATCGAGTAAACCCGGTCAGTAGGCTACACAGAATTAAACAATGATTGCTTTGACGTTAATTGCAATGGAATGAACTAAATTATAGGCTTCGTTTGACTGTAAATTAATATTAAATGCCAGACTGCCAAGCATTAATAATTTGCATTTGACTGTTTACATGCTTTTATTTACGATTTTTCTACTAATAATTTTGCAGTCACTTCAAGAAACATATACTCTTCTAATGTATTAAAAACACATATTTAGCATATTTACTTTTCTATTCATGGTATGAAATATTTACATTATTTAAATTTGAATATTTATACCCTCTACAATAATAAACACAGAAAATGTATATTAATTTTTACGTATTTCGTAAACTTTTTCAGTTTAATTCCGAGAATGTTAACGTGATCAATTTAGTGGCTGCTCTAATAAGATTTCGCATGGTAACCCACCAACAATGAAAACCACAAAGCCGCGCAAATAAAATTGTCATAACCAACGATTGTGACTTTTCCCTCGCACATCATTCAATTCCCCATATTTGGCGCATGCTTTTAAATCCCCAAAAAAAGGGGAGACATACATTTTGCCTTATAAGGTGGCCGATACAGATACAGCGACATGGGTTTCGGGATTGTTTATTCCGCCGACACACCCACATTCGGCTCATCCCGGGCCCATTAATAATTTTCTTGTGCAAATCTCGCAATTAAATATTATTGTACAATTAAGACGGCGCGACAAAGAGCCTTTGGTATTCCTTTCCATTAATAACTTTTGCCCATCATCTCAGCCAGAGAATGTTGCGTAAATTTCACAAGTCAGGCGGCAATTTATCGGCAATGAGTTCTTTTTGGCCCCAGAGTTCCTCTGTATTTGTGTGTGGGCCATGGGCCATGGGCCGTCAATTTGTCAGATTCCCTGCTGCTTTCCTGCTCCTTTTTTCTTAATGTCTTTAACAAGATCTGTCACCCGGCCATGAATGGAGCTTGTTATGCTGAAATAAATCACCCAACTTGACGAAAAGCGATTCCAGCATTGTCACAGAGAATCGCTTTAATATTTAATTGAACTGCCAGCTGCGTTATTTGAACAGTTTATTGATTTTTATGCAAATTTTGCAATTTGATAACGAAATGCGAGCCCACACACTGAAGTCCATTGTATTCCAGACACAGGCCCCACAAATATTATTTGCAAACATATGCATATGTTTACTTTGCGGTCTTATATATGCACCAGCTTTGGGTTTTGCTCATTAAAGATTTATATTTTTATGGGCCCCGTCAGTGCAATGTGAGGTCCCAGACCTTCGGGTCTCCAATTTGGTTGTAGGACTCTCTTGTTTACCCCCTCGGTCACATTAGCATTTTTAATTGAATTTTCGTTACGCATCCTGGGTGAAAAATGTTTGTTTATTTTCTTTGCCGCCAGACAATTTGTGCCGTTACTGTTTCGCCTTTTAATTTGGGGCTTAAGATGAAATCGCCAAGAACGTGACGAATTTGGACTTGCAATTTTGTTTGTTTTTCTTACCCATATCGACTGCATCGAGTGGCCAAAAATGAGAGGGAGAGCGGAGCTGCGTAAGACTTATTTTCGGCGCAATGATGTCAGATCGGCTGGCTGGCATACTTGTGCATGGGTTAATGAGGCGTAAGGCACTGAGCATTCCAACATTCCGAGCATAGTTGTCTGCCAATCGGCGTTTCGTCACGTCACACCTGAATGGAGCTGTCAACCGGCGGGCCACTGCATCTCATCTCAGCAGCCGGCAGCTGCCTCATTCCATTAGCCATTACCCATTAGTGGTTCTTATCAGCTCGGATTCCATGGCTTAATTATGTATTTGCCACTCGCTTTGTCGTCAGGTGTCGTTGAGTGCATGTAAATGCCAATCTTTATCTCAGTCCAAGATGGAAATACATGCACACAAAAAAAAAACTCGCCGGGATCAAACTGATATGCGCACGCTAAATTACTGTTATTTATACGCATATCGTTTTTACCATGTAATATTCGTAAAATTAATATTCAATGATTCCATTTTGCCGAATTCTCTCTTTTAGAGATGCTCTGACATCGAAAAAGAGAGTAAGAAGCTATAGAGCGAGATAGCGTTTAAAGTTACATGAGTGGGAGGAAAAAAGACATTCGAAATTCGAACTGGCCTGTTCGATTGATACCACATAATATCAAATTGATCATTGTTTTATATCAAGTTTTTCTTTTGGTGTGTAATATTTGGCAATGCCTCACTGCAGGCGGAAATTCAGGGGTCAGGGATCAAGCTGCGGCATTAATCAAAACTTAGTGCACTCCACCGTAACCCCTTTGTTTGGGCCGCATTGATCATGCTGATTATGGCATTGCCCATTGCACGATCGTGACTTTGATATTTCTCCTTTAATTTTCCCTCATTGTTGCAACGGCTGCCGACAAAGGAAAAGGCAGCCAACCGAATGCCGCCGGCCAAAGAAAGTTTTCCAGCATCGTTATGAAAATTGGCAAAAAGGCAGTGACTGCATAAGGCGGCGGAAAAGTCAAAGCTTGTGGGTTAACCACTGAAGGTTGTCTTCTAAGTTGCAAGGCAAACATTTGTTGGACCTAATTAAAAGATATCCCGGGCTGAGATAAGTTCTGCTCCCGACTTCCCAGCAAAAAGTGACATCATCGCGTTGTAATGTCATGCGAATACTGGCAAAAATCAAATTCCAATATCAGACTGCGCAGTTTGATCCCATAACGAAGGCAAAGCCATTCTCAACTGTTTAGAAAGTCAATCAGCAATAACAAACAAATATAAACGAATTGCCACAAAAGCAATATCGAAAAGTAAATGACCGCTAACAAAAAAGTAAAGTGAGAGCAAAATGTCAATCGATACGAAATTTGGTTGCCCAGTACTCGAATTTTATTATATTTTTTTATTGTTATCAGTTATGTTAGTTTGCTGCTTTGGAAATATAATGCTTTAAAATATTAAATATAATTAAACGAAATTTTATGAAACATTTCCTGAAAAAATGTCAATATGAGGTACTAAGTTGTATACCCTGCAAAAACTAAACTCAACTTAACTCTAAAGTAATGTTATTTTACCAAACAGTTTACTTTTCTCTAGGTGTTATATTTATAAAATAGTTGAAGTGCAATTTTTGCGGATCCCTGATAACGTAGTGCAAAAATTTGCATTTGCATTTGTAATTGTAACTAGAGAATAGTATCTTTTTTATCTACGACTAAGTAATCAGATATGAACTGACCCAATTAAACGTGTTATTCTTATCATGACACTCAGTCCCCTTTTATAGGGAAACAAAACCGTAAATCAATCCCTACAGTTCCATGGAAATACAATCCAAGCAGATCCAATTAGACACCATTTTTAATGCCCTTTTCGGAGGCGCAAAATATCAAGCATCGTAAATTGGAAAGCGTGCAGTGCAATATAGACGCAAGATCCGAAAGCTATAAATACGTTTTTATGCCGATGCATTTAGCCTTTTGTTATGTGAAGTGCCGCTGGCTGTCAATTCTTCCGTGGGTCCACACACATTACTCCGGCATTAGCCGCCATATTAATGGCCCCAATTAAGTGCTCATAAACCAAACCTCTCAGCGGCTAACTAGCTCTGGCCATCTCAGATTTGCCACTTTCCGAAAACAGCGAACGGCAACCGACGAACAGCAACCAAAATCGCATTAATTATGTGGCTTTGGCTGGCGGGCCATTTTGGCGTAGTTTTTGAACCCAACCAAACACCCGAAAAAATGGTGGACCACACTGAGGCGCTATAGCTGCTTTAGTTCGGAAGCCAGAAAATCCTTTTTGTGTTCTTTTCGCCCCTTTTTTTATTTTCCAGCCTTTTTCATGTCTGACCTTAGCAAATCCCATTGAATACACCTGGGAAATCTCTCTGGCTTCTGTTTTCTTTCTGTCTACCTGTCTGGGGCAAGTGTTAATCGTAAAATTTGCATAATTCCAAAGAGCTAAAGCTTTTAGAAGTGAGTTAAATTTCAGTAGCTGTAAACGTAATTCAAGCCTAAGAATTCCAGACAATGTATGTGGGTATCTTTAAACATTAATTTTAAAGGAAATTATATTGTTTCTAAAAGTGTATCTTTATACACTTGTTATTCCTCTTATTTGATTTTTCAATGTGGTTAAAAAGCACAAAAATGATTAATTTACCGTCTCATATTTCTATTTATTTTAAGTCTTTACACTTTGGAAAATATATCGCATGTCGAAGAAGTTAGACATTTTTAATTTAATTAGGTTCCATTTCCTTAATGTTAAAATTACCCTTTTAAAACGACATTTCATATTTGTCAATAAACATTGCCCATTTTGTTGTGCCCGGCATTCTTTAAGTGGCCTGAGGGCAGAGTGGAAATCAATGCCAATTGAACTCGATCCGATATTTGAGTTAATATCTTTCGAAATTGCTGGCTGCTCTCGTTGTTTTGTCTTCTGTTCTTTTCTTTTTTTTGGATTGTGGCCCGCATAATTGGATGGAAGCCACTCGAAATTGAAACCAGTGTCAAATGTCAACATCGATGATATGATGGTGAGGACACAAGAACTTCAGAGCAGACAAGAGCGGCCAACAAGTGTGTCAATTAGAAGGGGCGCGAAGTGACGTCGAATGCGGCACGTTCGAGTAGACGCCGTGTGCCATAATATATAACATTTAATTGACATGTGTTAAGCTTGTCAACAAACACGGGGAGCATTTTCCAGCCGAACGAAAAACAAAACAAAACAAAAAAAGTGGAAAACTCTGTTGCTGCTTTTTAGCCGGCTCTGGGCAGCTTTAAACTATGTATGCCTGCGTGATATATGGCCACGCTAATTGTGCATTCAGACATGGATGCATATATAAATAAAGAGACATACGTGTGCGAGGGGAGAGGAAGTCGAGTCCCAATGAAATCGTGCGAATTTCCAACGCCTCTGAAACGCTTTTCTTGCTGCCAATTGGCTCTCAACTTGATTTATCTGCTAATCGTTGATGACGTTTTCCTCGAGTGTGTGCCACTTTTTGTTGCTCCTTGGCCGGCTGTTTGTTTGCTTTGTATTTTTCCCCCAATGTTTGTTGCTAGTACTGTCTTGTCGGCCTGTTTGTTAAACAAATCCGCGCCGTTAATTGCCGGGCAAAGTGTCACTGCGTCGGGGAAAGAAAAGTCAGTGAAAACATGAGCAGCTTTTTTTCTACGGGAAATTCTCCCATGACATTGCGACACTGCCTCTATTTATGCCGCCCTCTTTTTTTAATTTCCTGGCACTCGCGGAAACATCTTCTAACTAAAAGTACTTTAATAGAACTCTTTGACTTTAATAAAGTTTAAATTAACCTTATAAACTTATCCTACCATCTGTATAAAAAATATTCACACACAGATAAGTATTTGTTTTAATTATTTCTTACCATGTTTTTAATACAATATTACTTTTAAATATTTTTGGTAGGGACTTAAAACAATAATCCCAAACGGAAAAACGGCCTTAAAGAAGTCATCAAAAATAATGAATGATGAATCTTTCGTGAGAAAAACGTTCAATTACCGACCTCCTCTTCATGATCTCTACTTCGAGCTCGTTTTCTGCCAGTGTGCGTTCCAGTTTAACCCATTAGTCGGAGGAGCGTCTGCTTGTCTGGCCGCCACTTGGGCTGCCACTTAATAAATAGTTTGATGCATTACTCCTGCCTGTTTGGCTTGCATTCAATCAATAGCAACCTCCCAGCGATTCACGCATGCAGGTCTTGCCCCCTGCCCCATTTCCCTGCCCCATTTCCCGCGCCGCCTTCCCTAGGTGCGTGTGTTTTCTAGTGGCTTTTCCGCAAAATGCTTTTAATTCAATTTTATTTCAATTTAATTGCCACATTGCCGGGCCGCGGAGCTGCGTATAGAGAGAACTGGAGCTCAGGGGGAGGGGAATCGGTGAATCGGGATGGATAGATAGGCCGGCGTGCATATGGCCATAGGTCTGTCTATATAGAAACTTGACTATCTGCGTCGATCAGTTCGACAACAACGCGGAATCGGGAGCTGCAGCTGATTGCCGCCTTGCCTTTTCCACTCTCGATATTATACAATATTTTTGCGTTAACATATATATGTGGGCATGCATATATGTGCAGTACATACGGGTTTGTGCATCTATCGTGTGGTATCGCATCGAAATATGCGGTATAGCCGCGGTTTTGTAATGGATTTCGATTTGTGCGTCTCAAGTTTTTCTATGAATTTCCCATAAACAATTTTCAATTGAAATGCCCGGGCAATTGAACTACTTTTGTACGATTTATGCATTCTAAATTGACTGCTGAATCGTCTTTGCGTAAGACTGAAATAATATATTGATGAAAGAAGAGCTTGAGCCTCAGACCAATCCAATCGAATCCAATCCACAATAGAATAAAGATGGATGGGATTTGCCAGTCAAGTGCCTTTATGCCCATTATGCTCTTGATGATCCGAGCTTGTGCGTGCCTGCTTGTGACAGAAGGCGCGATTAATTGCTGACACACAGGCCGTATGTGTAATATATTAAATGCATAATTGAGCACTGGATTGATGGCTCGATTGATGGAAGGCTGTCTGCTGCCTGGCCTCCATTGATAAGCCAAATGACATAAGTAAGACAGTCATAATTAAACTCTCTTCGTGACCTTCAGCCACGGATAGCCACGATAATATGCGTTTCCACCATTAAATCATAGCCTTCGTTACGTGAAAAGCAATCTCAATTTTCCCCATTTTTCCGGCTCCCTTTACAGCAATCTTGGGGACTCACTGGCGGCGACATAAAGCCAAAGTCATTTTATCTGCCCTCCACCAGCGCAGTCATGGACTTCAGAAAGCATTTGGGTTTATTGGCACTCGTCCTGGTCGCCGTACTCGCGTTTTACGGGCGCCCAGTGGACGCCTGCAGCTGCATGCCCGCCCACCCGCAGACGCACTTCGCCCAGGCGGACTACGGTGAGTTGTGCACAGCCACAGATACTGAGCTTCATCTCCTGAGAATTCAATAAATAAATGCCAACGCCTTCTTCTCCTCGTTGACAGTTGTACAGCTGCGAGTCTTCCGCAAATCAGACACCATTGAGCCGGGCAAGACCACCTACAAAGTTCGCATCAAGCGCACCTACAAGGTAAGCACATTGGACATCGGAAACTTGTCACGGTCACAGTTGGAAAATTAGTTCTTACATAGTAACCACTTTAAAGTAATTTTGTGTGAGGAAAATACCTTGCCAGTCTACGATATATTCGAACTAGCTTTAGTTTAAAAAGGAACCAACAATGTCATTGCAACAACCTTCGAGTTAATTCCTTTTTTTAACGAATTAACTTAAATTAACTTTTATTCAGAATATTTCGACACCGGCAAAAAGTTTCTTAAAATTAAAACGAAATTATAATTTTAAAAATTAAACCTTTACCTTTTTTAAAAATACACTTTAATGGTATTTCCAGGAATTGAAATTTGACTAAGAAAATATATATTTTTTGGGACATAAAAATATGGAATATACATTTTATTTCAAATATTTTTGATTTTTAAAAATCAAACCTTTAATTATTTTAAAAGTACACTTTTATGGTTTTTCCAAGAATTTTAATTCAGCTAGGAAAAATATATATTTTCCGTGCATAAAAAATATGGAATATACATTTTTTTAAGATACGAACGAAATTGTTGACCCCTTTAAAATTTATGTCCCAAATTCGTGGAAAATCATCTCATTAAAATGTTTTGTTATTTTTTAGGCAACTCCCGAGGCGCGGCGAATGCTTCGCGATGGTCGCCTGGCCACGCCCCGCGATGATTCGATGTGCGGGATTAAACTGGAGCTGGGAAAGATCTATATCGTGGCGGGAAGGATGCCGACCCTGAATGTTTGCAGCTACTACAAGGAGTACACCAAGATGACGATCACGGAGCGACACGGCTTCAGCGGTGGCTATGCCAAGGCCAGCAATTGCACAGTGAGTCGAAAGGAGCAGGCAAATCAACTGAAAGTCCCTCTTAATTGTGAAATATTTCGTTACCAGGTTGCCCCGTGCTTTGGTCAACACTGCTTCAAGTTCCGACCACACGCAGACGAGTGCAAGTGGTCGCCGTTCGGAAAATGCGAGACGGACTACAGTGCCTGCATGCCGCACCAAAGGCAGACGCCCAATGGAGTGATTTCCCGGTGCAGCTGGCGACGCACGCAGCTGTACAGAAAGTGCCTGAGCAATCCGTAAAGTCCGTCGGATTTATAGATAGAGTCAGTCCCCCAAGTCCGCTTGTCCTTGTTATGCCTCCATTTCGCCCACACCCTCCCACTCTCTGTCCAGAGCTTTAATACGTACGTTATGCCTAATGTGTTATTTATTAATTGATGCTTTTGAACTTGTAACCGGCTCCATAGCAGCAACTTAATTAGTGTCTAGCTTTTAATGTGTTTATACCTTGTGCACACTTACCAAATCGCGTGGATTGGGGAAGAAGGTCTGTTCGATCAGTGGAAAGCCGTCGCGTCCGAGACGTCGCTGCAGTTGCAGCAGATGGGAGAATACCCAGGGTTTGTCCTTCAGAAAACAATTAATTCAGCGGGCAGCTCGGAGTAAGGTTCACTTCTAACACCACTCACCTGAAACTGGTAGATCGAGTGCAGCGAGTTGATGCTGGGCACTCCGCCGTACTTTAAGCCCAAGATCGTGGAGCGAAAATCGCTGGATCCGTCGCGCGGCGGCTGGCGAATCAGCACAAAGTCCGGCCGAAAGGAACGCGCCACCTGTTTTGGTGTGATATTCCAGAAGAAAACAAAAAATTAAATAATATATGATGAGAAAATTTACTTAGCTTTTAGAACGCCAAACGCTGGAAATACTTTTTGTAATTAAAATAAAAACGAAAATATATTTTTAAATATTTTAAATGGCCCTTCATAATTATTTATTTTTTCTCAATCCCAAAAATAAACCTTTTCTATTTTAACAGCTTTCCCATGACGCGGATGATGAACTGGCGCCATTTGTTATCGAGTAGCCTGAAGTGTTAGTTTTTGTAGCATACTTTTGGGAGCAAAATAATTTAAATTCAGAGTGAATAGAAGACTTACATTTTATTAAATCTCATAGAAATGTTTGTAAAAATTAATTTACATTCCACTCGAATTATATGAAATACTCATTATTTGCATTCGAAAGCCCTTCACTGGCAATATAGATGACGCCTAATTTTCTGACAGACCCAAGTGTGTCGTTTTCGTATTTTTTACCCAGCTACAAGTGTCTCTTATTATTGCCACTGACACACGCAATTGCAGAAACAGCAGCATCGTAAAGTCAACAAAACGACTTGAAATAAACAAATGGAAATGGAGCGCCAGAGTGTCCTGCCCAGTGCTACGCAAATAAGGGAAAAGGGACAAAGGCTGTTGATAGACTGCCAGCTCTTTAGAGCTCCTTGGTCGACGGATTATACACCCACCCACTCCTATCATGCCACCCACACAGCTATCCACCCACGTCCTTGGGCGTCGACGCTTTCAATGCTTCTTTTACTCTGCAGAATACTGCCGGACAATCAAATCCCCGGCTGAGAAGTTGGATCTACGACTACTGGGCACTGCTATTGCACTAATTAAGCGCAAACTACGCAGGTGGGAACACTTGTAAAAACTATTATACACAAAATCTTTTTATAAAACTGAAATAATCAGATTTATATTATTTTTAAAAAAATACCAATATGTAACCATTAAAAAAATAATTTTTATAAATATACAAACAAGTCATTTAAGGATAATATTTATTTAATTTCTGACAATGATAAATATTTCTTTAGGTTGATAAAAATAATATAATGAATTAAGTAGATATTTTTTCCAGTGCCTGGGATAACTCACCCGAGTGCCACTGCGATAGGCGGCCATGGTGACAACCGGTCCGGTGTCGGCGCTGGAGACCACCGTAATGTCCTGCGGAGGACACACAGTAATTACCCCGATTACCGGGTGAGAAATGCGAAAGTACTTGCCCTGAACTCGGCCTGCTCCACGCGGATGTCGAAGTCGCCGTGCAATCGCCTGCCCCGGAAGTATTTGGACCAGTCCGTGTTCTGGTCATCTAAAACCAGCAGCGTGAAGTACTTGTCCTTGTTAAATGCCGGAGCCCGCTGTGTGGCGCTCTGGACCGCAGCTCCTGTTTTGGGGTTAGATGTCATTCCATGCCCAGAGACCATTAAACAGTCCCTACACTCAGAAAAAGGTCAAGCGTCTTTAGCTCTAAAGACTTTTAATTATCATTAGAGATACAAGTCTTAAAGTTTATTTAATGGGTTAAAAAACAACGATTTAACGAAACTCTTTATAAAGGTATATTTGACAATACTATGGGTAGAATTTGAATTCGAAGAGTTTTATATTTTTTTAAAGAACGAAAGTATTACAGGTTCTTGGTAGTTTGTGAAAACGATTTGAAAAGTATTTAGAGTAAAAAATGTTTAGCATAATGTATATTAGAAAGTGAATAGTTTCCATCTAATTCCTCAAGAATTAAGGGAACTTCGTTTATGGTTTTCTATTGGTTATAAAAGCAACACATCTACATGAAATATCAACGTCTTAAATATATAGGATATAGGATTTATATTGTTTGTATCGACTATATATCACGATTTTATGATTATGTCTAGGCAAATGTTATGTTTCTGAGTGACTGGTACATATTTTCTGAGTGTAGGTGCCTTCATAGCGGCCAAGCGTACCCAAAATGGAGGCTCCCTGATCCCGGGCTGCGCCGGTCAAGCTCTGCACCCGCTGCAGCAGGCTTTCGCGCGACTTGGCCGGACTGGTCGGCGCACTGACACCACGTGGTGGTGCCGGGGCAGCCGTCGCCGGGGCTTTGCCGACGCCAAAGCTCAGCGACAACTCCGGAGCAGCTCCGGCCGGTTGGCCGGGAGCCGGCGGTGGCGGCATGTTCGGCGGTCCCCCCACCACCGGCGGCTTTGTCGGCTGATCCTGGATGGGCCGCGCCGCCGACGGCAGGCTATTCGGATCGACATCGTCTACCTCGGAAGACAAGTCTCCCGAGCTGAATCTGTTGGGGGTTTCGTGTTGGTGGTGTTGTGTGTTCGAGTGTTTTTGGTGGATTGATTGATTGATTTGGTGGTTTTCCAACAGTTTGAATGGTGCAGCGCAGTTGAGTGGAAGGGGGAGGGTGGGAAAATCAAATGGGGCGGCACAAAAGTACCGCCACAGAAAGAGAGACAGAGAGAGAGAAATAGACGAACATATGAAATTTCAAATTAGTTTCGTTCAACTGGGCCACCCCTTCTCAGGGGGGCACTTCCTTTTTTAAGGTCTTTACCTTCTCTTCAGGAAATTAACATTGGAAGTGAAGCTCGATTTGAACGACGAGAAATTCAGGGTGCTGCTTTTCGGCTCCTGCGATCCGCGGCACATTAAATAGACATTAAACCAAAGAAAACACACAGTAGAGTTGATTTGCTTGGCTCTCGGTTAATTAGCTAGAGTGCTTTCAATTTTGGGCATTCATGATGGTTATTTTTCTGATTTTTATAGTGCATAGACATTGAACATTAAGGCATACAGTAATTTAAAGCGTCGCACAAACATAAAATAAGGCATTCAATAGACATGTTTGTCCCTTTATTCAACCAAATCCCTGCGGACTAATGAGATTATGCGGGCCAACTTTGCCAAAGCTCTCACTTTGATCCTAATTGTCTTATAAACTTTCTCCTTAATTGAGTCGCTCGGCCAATGTGGCGTATGCGCAATGTGGTCACTTCGAATGTGCATTTTCACAGTGAAAGATGGTAAAAATCGTAAAAAACATTACACAGTCGTAATGTAATGTACTGAAGTGAGGGGAAAACTCATTTCAAATTTCATATGTCAGCTGTTTAAATGATTAGTATATATTTGCATTTAGTACACACTCCCGGTTTCTATTACAATTCACTTACGGAGCTGTCGCAGTAATGAGTTAAGTAGACCATGAAATTATAAAAGTTGCATTTGCTTTTAGCAAAATGCCGTGAATGTGTATGTGGGCTAAAAGGATGCGTACATTTGAAGAGCGGACAGAGAGAGAGGGAGGGTCGGTCTAAGTGAAAACTAAAATTCTATTAAAAATAGCAATTAAGGTGCCTTAAACTAAAACTTTAATTAAAATAAGCACCACGAACAGAACATAAAAACGAACGAGCTGATGGCAACAGGTGCACGCGCCAAGGACATTTAAGGACAATGGCCAATGGTGAGTGGCGAATGCATAGAGGCAGAAATAGCCATTATATTGCCAAGGATCTTTTGTGTGGCGCAAAATGCCAGAAATCAATTGAAGGCACAGATTGCCGATGGTGGATTGGCTGGGGCCAAGTCAACAATGCCAAACACTTGTGGCCAAAACGGCGACGGCGACGTGCGTTTTGTATTTATTATTATCGTGGCCCGCAGGCCTACAGCCACTTGAAACTTTTCAGCCCCTATATTATAATGTTGGTCCCCAGCACACACAACAAAATACCGACCGCCCGGGGGGCAATTTGTGTTTATGCGTAAAGGTTCGTGCGACCAGCTCGGTGGGAAAACAAGAATAAAAGATATGGAGGCTGTAGAACTAAAAAGCAATTTGTTGATGAAAGCGAAGCAAGGCCAAAGATATGTGAGAGTGTGGCATATGATTCGAGAGTGATATCTGTGTGGGTGCCAGAGTTAAGCGGAGGTGGATTCAAATTCACAAGGCCCGGTTCTCGGAACAGTCTTACCGGTGGCGGGGCGCAGATTCGCCCACACCCAGCAGTTGCGATGGCGCTAATATTGACAGTGGTCGACAATTAAGTCGAACAGTTGGCCTCCGTTCTCGCTGAGGGCGTCCTCGTTCCTGCAACAATTCTCGGTCTATGTGGGCGCTACTTTAGTCTGTAAAGGAGAATAAAGGGAATTAGGCTTTTGAACACGTATTTTCTAAGAAAATTGGGATTAGGTAAACATGAATTTGTGCTCGACTGTTCGACTGTTTAGTGCAGCCAATAACATGGCTGCTTCGCTTTTGGGTAGATTTACGAAAACATATATATTTGTTGTAAAGATTGTGCATTTGGTTTCGACTTTCAAACACCCGATACTCAGCTAAAAAGAGAATTGACTGTCTGAAATCGCTCTCCAGCGAATACTTTTTTTTTTGCTCATAACTTTTTTAAATGAATAGTCAAATTTAAAAATATTTTTGGAGAGGCGATAGCTATTGACAAATCCAATAAAATAAAATTTTCACTGCACAAAACATCTTAGGAGATGTGTACGTAAATTTTCGCGGTTTGTGGGCGTTAGCACCGTAATGAACAACAAGAATCTGCACAATAAATCCCAACCTTCTAGCTTTAATGGTCTCCGAGATCTCATCGTTCATACAAACGGGGCTAGAAAACGTTTCCTTCTAACTAGAATATTTTTTTATATCATTGAATAATTTACTTTCTTTAATAGTGTTTGTTTTCCTAATTTTAAATGATGTATCTATAACGATAAATACGACCACAAAAAACTCAGAAAAATATGAATCAATTGAAGTTAATATGTACTTTTATTTAATATTTATACTTAATAATGTACGTCTTTAAAAAATAATCAATTTTGAGTAATACTTTAAATGCTATGAAATTTCCCTTACTTTTACTGGAGGAAATATAAACTTTTAAAGAGATCTAAGCAAGCTGGCTTTCGAAAGGCATACCACTGAGTCTTAAAGCTTATCCCCGCACACCTGTCCCAAGAAAAGTTGGAAGCCCTCTTGTTCAGCTCACTTCAGTTCGGTAAGTTAAAATAAAAAAAGGGAAAACACAAAGAGCAAATCAACTGGGACAGCTATCAGGCAGAGGATGTCCAGGCAACTGGACGACTGGATGGCTGAATGAATGAATGGGTGGGTACTGGGGCTGGTTAACATCCCAAGAGACAACTCGCTGTCGCCTTTGTTGCTCTTTTTGCTGTCGACTGGCAAGCCAAACATTGTTTTTGGTTCATTGCACTGGCAGTGGCCGCTATCTAGGACATGGCATGCAAACATTCAGCTCAACCCACACTGAAGCGCAAACACATCCCCGGGCAATAACAGTTGGGGCGAAAGAAATCAGAAACATTTGCAACCAAATAACCAAATGTTGTATGTAAATAACACCTAAACAAATCAGGAGGCGCAACCTTTTTTTGTTTTTTTTTTATTCTCCGTGGCGACCAACTAAGTGCGGGAAAATTGCGTTAATGGGTCCCCGGGGGCCTGCGAAATGCTGATTCACTTATCATAACTAAAATATTTATTTATTTCATTTATTTATTTATTTCTTTATTCGCCAACAGTAAAAAACCTTAACTGGCTACTAACTAATACTAAATTAAATACTAAGTGAGGCAAAATAATTATACAAGTTTTTCTTGATTAAATCTCTGGGGAGCATGGATCCAACCGCATGTGAGATGGCAACTTATTATAAAAATGCAGGGCTCTACACAACGGCTCATTGTGGGCATAATTGGCTCTGTAAGCCGGTACAAAAAATGGTTCAAACGTTCTTAACGATCTACCAGGCACCGATAACCTATGCTGCCCAGCAGTGCAGGGCAGTCGATTTCAGAGGTCAGCAAATCACATATGAAAACTAATGAACTGGTAGTTCTCCGATCTTCTAGGGAAGAAAGGTGAACAAGCCGACATTTGGCAGAATAGGACGGGACCGGGTCATTGAAATTTAAAGCTAGAAGGGCAAAACGTAGAAACTGTTTCTGTACACGCTCAAGCCGATTTATGTGAATAGTACCCGTCGGGTTCCAGATGAACGAGGCATATTCCAGTTTTGACCTAATGAAGGCTGAATATAAGCTTAGCTTCGTGTAGGGATCTTTAAATTGCGCGGCATTTCTTTTTACAAACCCATACATAGCGTAGGCCTTGGGAATAATATAGTTAATATGTTCAATGAACATAAATTTACTGTCAAACATGACTCCTAGGTCCAGGGATTCATTTCTCAGGGACAGAATATGGGAGTCAATGGAATACGAGAAAAGGATATTAATTATTCGTTTACTGTACCTAACGAAGAAACATTTTGATAAATTGAGAGGCAAATTATTACGAGAACACCAATTTCCCACCCTTTCTAGGTCATTTTGAAGAAGGTCACTATCGGAGATACAATTCACAGCTCTAAATATTTTAAGATCGTCAGCGAACAACAGAAATTCCGAGTTCTTTATGCAATAGCTAATATCATTTATGAAGACGATGAACAGCAACGGACCCAAAGCACTTCCCGAGGAAGGCCAGAAGTTGCAACATATGAGTTAGAGTAAACAGCATTGCATTCAACTCTGTAAATCCGATCATCTAAATAAGATTTGAACCAGCTAAGTAATAGTGAGTGAAATCCCATTTTCTGCAGTTTAGCTAATAAAGCATTATGGGAGACTTTATCAAATGCTTTAGCGAAATCGGTGTAGACCACATCAACTTGATGATGACTGAGAAACGAGTGGGTGCAAAAATGATTGAACGTAGCTAAGTTTGTGGTAGTAGACCGTCGAGGCATAAAACCATGTTGGTTAGGACTGATGATCCGACCAACAAGAAAAGTTAGCTGCTTGGCTACAATTCGTTCGAACATTTTTGAGACATTGCTGAGCTTTGCAATTGGCCTATAATTTGAAACAATGTTTTTTGCACCCGACTTGAATATAGGAGTAACAGTGGCCAGTTTCCATCTATGCGTAAAAACACCAGTGGAAAGAGATAAATTAAAGATGATTTTAAGGGCTCACAAAGAACACCTATACAATTTTCAAAATAAATGGAGAAAGGCCATCACAATCTAATTTTGCTGACTTATTAAAGCATTCAGCCGCCAGATGGCAGTCAGAATCGGTGACATCTAAGCAACCAATATTTAACATAGTAGGAATGGCATTGAGCGAATCTTCGTCATTCCACAGCGAGCCCGGCTCAAAGTTAGATGCAAAGAACTTAGCAAATAGATTAGCGACCCCAATATCCGAGGAGGCTGAATGATCTTCAAATGACATATGGGAAGGAAAGTAAGAAGATGTTCGTTTAGAATTGATAAAGTGCCAGAATGATTTAGGATTGGTAGTTAATTTACGCTCTATATCAGCAATATATTGGTTGTATAAGAATTTATTGAGGAACTCAAACTCACGCTTATGCTGTTTGTAACGGTCAAAGTCACCAGCATCACCGCTTTCTAAGTAGCGCTTATAGAATTTATTTCTAAGGTTTTTATATTTCTTTAGTCCTTGCGTGTACCATGGCAGTCTGTAACAACTTTGAACCCTAGTTTTAGTATATCTGCCCACAATAGTAGAGAGAAAAGATAAAAAAACTTCATAGCTTGTATTCACATCTGCATGCGAGAGGACCTCCGCCCATCTAATATTAGAAATATCGTTACGGATAGAATCTAAACTGCTAGAATTAATATAAGTAAAAGGCAAGCGAGAATTAATTGGGCGAAAAATATAACAAGTAATAGAGATTAACAAAGGCTTGTGATGAGCATCACACGCGGCAAGTGGATTATCGCTGCAACATAAATTAATGCTTAAATCAGGATGTACAAAAATTAAGTCTAGAAGCTTATTTAAATTATTAAATACATGGTTAATCTGGACTAATGCCATACTAAGAAGCTCATCAATGACTAAGATTTCGTAGGGAAGATGCAAGTTACTGGGAACCATTGCTGAGGACTCTGAATCATGAGCCCACACGAGCGAAGATAGGTTGAAGTCGCCCAAAACACATATGTACTGGCCCTCCTCCAGCTCCTGGTGTAGGTGGGCAATGTTATCAACGTGCGCTTTATAAAGATCAAAACTGCTGCTAGGGGGTATATATGAGACTGTCAGGAAAATTGTTTCTGTAGGACCAGAGAGAGATACACAGATTTGATCGAGCAGAGAATCCTCATTCTGGAGACGAATAGCAGTGCAACGAAGTCCACGCCGCACAGCAATTAAAACGCCGCCACCTCTGGAGCATCTTGTTTTAACGGCATCACGATCCTTACGGAATACATGGTAAAGATTCGTATCGAAGAATTCATTATCAAAGAAATCCATGTTGAGCCAGGTTTCAACAAAAATGATGACGTCATGATCGCATTGAGACGTTGCCAAGAAAAGCGATGGAGCTTTTGTACGCATACCACCGACATTTTGAAAATAAATATTGAAAGTTATATTATTTGTGCATGTACGGTCATCCCTGGTCATGCTATCAATACTTGGTCCAGCGTCATGGCCCGAATCCATAAGAGGCCTTGCTGGGATCTTATCATAAGTATTAGAATTATTAATAAGAACCTTCAGTAAAGTAGTTGTGCGGATACGAATAGGCTGGTGATCATCACTCCCAATATTTCGTGGGCGGTCATTATTAGCATTCTGAATATGACTGCACGCAGGTGAATCCGCTCCTGTTAATAGTGCGCGAGAGCCCCCTCCAGCTGCCACAGCCCATTGTAGTTGTTGATGGGGAGAGCAACTCCAGAGAGCACCGGAAAAAAATCCGAGGAGCGCGCCGATGTTAGAGCTTGGCGGACGGCGAATGTCGCAGAAAGCGGACAACAACAGCTCCGGCTGATGTTGTTGACGATGCGACGGGAGAGAGGCGGAATATAATGAGAGCGCAACTCCAAGGAGCGCGCCGATATTAGAGCTTGGCGGACGGAGAATGTCGCACAAAGCGGACAACAACAGCTCCGGCTGATGTTGTTGACGATGCGACGGGAGAGAGGCGGAAGATGATGAGGGCGCAACTCCGAGGAGCGCGCCGATGTTAGAGCTTGGCGGATGGCGAAAGTCGCACAAAGCGGACAGCAACAGCTCCAGCTGATGTTGTTGACGATGCGACGGGAAAGAGGCGGAAGATGATGAGAGCGCAACTCCGAGGAGCGCGCCGATGTTAGAGCTTGGCGGACGGCGAATGTCGCAGAAAGCGGACAACAACAGCTCCGGCTGATGTTGTTGATGATGCGACGGGAGAGAGGCGGAAGATGATGAGAGCGCAACTCCGAGGAGCGCGCCGATGTTAGAGCTTGGCGGACGGCGAATGTCGCAGAAAGTGCGGTTGTGCAACTTTTCGTAGCCTACTTTCGTGAGGGTCAGCTAAGGAGTCGCGTGTGAGCAGTTGAGGGTGTCCTTGCTGCTCCAATGAGATGCACATACATTGTTGAAGTTCATTACAAAGTCAAGACTATCAAATTTTTCGCTAATAAAATCGCTCTAACATCCTCTCTGCCCCCTCAATTCATGACATAAGCCCTCGTAATGAGTTGTTGTGGCTAAGCAGATTACGTATACGCAGGGGACGCCGCTCTGTCTGTTGCCTTAGTTTTTGGCCCACACAGCTGAGCTGAGAAGGTTTCGCCCTGAAGCTGTGCAAAAGCTGCACTTGCCATTACAGACAAGCCTGACATTTGGCATTTGCTTTGGCGTAGCCCGCCCAAATGTCAAAGTTCAGCGCACATCAGAGACATACTAACTCGAAGGCAGGCAGGCAGACTGACTAGAGCCCTTAGTAATCGATTTCATTATTGATGGCGCCCCCGATTGTTTATTTAGCCCACCAAAATAGCAATGACTAGGTGGTTTTCGGCTAAACCTTTTTGGCCAACTTTAAGTCTTATTCAATTATCCCGCAGACTGAGCCTCGTTAGTTGCCAAATTATGTTGGGCAGGCCCCTTAACTTTTTGGCTTTTCTTACATAATTCATAGGAGGCAGAGTCTAGCATCGATATTCTTGTTTTGCCTTTCGGTGGCTTTGCTTGGCATGATATTTTCATACGCCATGTTGTCTGAGAGCTCTTCGCTCGCGTGTGTATGTGTGAAAACTTTTTGAATTAATAATCACAGTAACGTGTTGAGGGTCTCGGCTGTCGGTTTGCCCCTTTCCGGAGGCTTGGAACTGCTCTCGACTGTTTTCCGCCCCTGAAACTTTTTGGTAGCCAGCTCAAATCTGTGCCGGAAAAAGTTTATAGTCAGCTTAACCCCCGTCTTGTGGGTGGCTCGGGTTATTTTGCTCTGGTCGGTGGTGTTGCACCACAATCCATCAACGTCAGTGGCAAATTAAAGTTCTTTTTTATGGCAGCTTAAGCAGTTGTCAACCGCTTATATAAACTGCAATGCGAGAAAAGGGTTGAGTAACGGGCAACTGGGAAACTCCATCCGGAGTTGCAGCACCTGCAGCCGCATTTAACCCATTTTCCAGCGGCAGCATTTCCCTGCGAGACCTCTTTTTGTTCCTGATATGTGCGTTGGCTCGTCATAAGAACCGGGGGCTTAATGTCTTTTCGATGGTAATTAAAAATGCCAACCATTTCAGTCTAGATTGTGGCGCTGGCTCACGCAAATTGTGACAGCTATTTCCGTCTGGGGTCAAAGACTTTTGCAGCTTTTAGCAAAGCTATAAAGTTGCTGCCACTTAAAGTTGGGGAAATAAAGAAAGGCTTTTGTTCTTAAGCTGCAACTGAAGAGTTCATTTTAATTACATGCTTTTCCTAATGGCAGTATCATTGTTTAAGGAAATTATTTCCAAAGACCCAGGCTGTCATACAAAAAAACCTTTTAATGCTTTTTGGTCTCTGAAAATTTAAGAAACAAATAGATTCCTTTAATTATTTTGAACAGTAACTTATGTTTTTTTTAACAAATGTGTTAATTGGTTTTAAAAAAACAAAGTCCTCTTAAAAACTCCTTTTTTTGTTAGGATGTTTCATTTTATAAGTCACTTTACAATCCCATGCTAAAATTATTATAATTTCTTTAAAGTTGTTTGGTTTGATGTCTTATATATTATGTTCAAGGGAAACGTTATCTTCGCCTGACCAGAAAAATGTGTAAACCATGTCAACTAAAACTAGACCAAAGTGTAAACAATTTGTTCTTGACTACTTTTAGGAGGTTAGTGGTAAATGGTTTTTGAGTCCGTTGGTTGTGTTTGTGTTCGTCTAGGATTTTTAATTAATTTTCCCCAACCAATTAGCAGTATCAAAACCACCACTCAGGACTGTTTGCTGTTGGCCTCCCGCTGGCAGTGGGTTTGTGGGTTATCAGGTTGCCCCGCCCCCTTTTTTCCCTGGGCTTCTCCTACCCCTCCCCCCTTTTTGAGGACGCTTTAATCGCCAGCTAAGTCGCGCTCTTTGTTTTACTTGTAATTCAATAAAGCGATGGTGCCTCTCTACCTCGGGGTCTCAGTTTTGTTGTTACGGCGTCTGTCTACGCTTATCACGTACTCACACAGACACACACTTACACCCACACACACAGAAATACAAATGCACACAGACACTCACATTCACACTCGGTGCAAACAACGCTGACTAGCTGATACAGAAATTTCTTATATATTTTTTCTTCACTTTAGCCGTGTTTCGATTTTTTGGCAATTGCACTTTTCTTTTACCGAAAAAAGCAAGAAATCCACTGGAATTTTCCTGCTCGGGCGCTTAAATTTCCGCTTGAATAGCGAATGAACGTTGGGCGATGACTTTGAATGATCAAAAGTGAACACAAAATGTAGTTTAGATAATTTTGAGATTTTGGCTAAGCGAATTGTGTGGAGCTAGAGAATTTTGGCTGAACTGTCAACGACGGTGATGAAATTTTCACTGAGCGAGTGGGCTTTTCAAACAAGAGTTTCCCACCAAAAGGAATGCGAATGTAAAGGCATGTGAGTACTCAAAGAGAGAGAGAGCGAACTTAGAGAACGAGTTTTTAGAAGAGATAATAGAAATGATAAAAATGTAAAATTAATCTTAAGAAATTTACCAAACGGTTAATTTACTTTAAATTTATGCAAGTTCTATGGCAAGCTTTAAGAAAATACAAGCTTTCATTAATAAATCGTAAGAATTTTTTTAAATACACCGTTATTTTCCTCATATTTACCAACACTGACTGAACGCCACCCCATTTTAAAGCTATTGCGCATGCGTGAGTAAGAGAAACCTGCGGGCATATCGATTCATTGAAGTCTGCGTTACGCTACAAACTCCAACAACCACCACTACCAAATGCACTGTTGAAAAAAATTAAACTCCTACAAACTTAAATATATTTATATACAAATATAATAAAGTAACAGTTGTTAATTGCTAAAAGTGTTTTAATTAGAAATTAAAGCATTATAAATAATAAGTTATGAATAATGAATAAATTATTTAAAACAAATTCATCGCATGAAAAAGAAACAATATTTTATTGTAGATTCCTGTAAATTTAAATTACAAAACACTCTAACCTTAGGATTTTTTATTTATTAATAGTTTTTGGATAATATTTTTTTCTGAGTGAACGAACTTCTGGATACCAACGCACATTGTAATATTTTTATCACTAAGCGTGGCGAAATGATAAAAACCGGAGAGAGCGACTGGGGCGAAACTCAGAGAGCTGTTGCTTGGGCGCCAAAGCCATGGCTTAAATTATTTTTCCAGCGATACGGCAACGCCTTCGATGGCCAGAACCAGCAGACATACTAAAAATGGCCAAAACCAACGAAGATGTGGTCGAAATGGGAAGCGAGAAAAGATGGAGAGAGAGGGAGAGCAGAAAAACAAAACAAGCAGCGAAGCTGAAAAGGCAAAGCTTGGCTTAGAGCAATTTCCGTCTCTGCGATTCAGTTGCCAACAATCTCTCGAGCCGTCAACGTGTCAAGCGGAAAGTTCTCGTCCAAAAGCATTTTTCACTCTGGTGTTTTACGCGTTTCAAAAGTTAGAACCAGACTTGGTTTCAGTGCGGAGTGCAGGTAGCTGAGTAATAGCAAATAAAAACAACTTTTTCGAGCAAACAAACACATTCAATAAACGACACGAACAACAATAAGTAAACAATGAGCTGTTGCATAAAACTTGTTTTCACGTGTTGCTCACACGTCGCTCTGTTGCAAAGAGCTGAAAATGTACAAAACTTTAAAGTGAACAAAAAGCCAACTAAATAAATAATATTAAATGATGGAAAACTACTGCTGATTATAGCCAACTTCATGTGAATAAGTTTACCTAGCTGAGTGGCTAGTTAAAGTTTAAAATAGTATTTTTTAGTGCCTGGAATTTGCGCGAATTTTCCAGTTTATTAATTTTTTCTCGTTCTCTTTAAAGAGATCTCTTTGCTGAATTCGTTACTCTCTTAACTGCAGCTTCTGGTGGGAGCTCAGTTTTTTTCTCATTAGCTAATAAAAATGACTAACTTTTTTGCTAAAAGCTTTAGACTGACTTGAGTATTGCATATTACTGCCAAGATGCATGGAAATGCTGTAATTAAGCAGTTGTCTAAGAATATTTATTTACAGCTTTTGTGTAGGTGCGTCAGTCATTTCCGCTTGAGCTTGTTGTTAGAAAAGCCAAATAAATCACATATTCTGGCCATAAATAACTTCTGGCCACAAAAAATAGTAGCATAAATTAAGAACATTATTTGTACGTACATGCTGGAAATTGATCCCAAGTCTAACCATAAATATTCAATATCTGGATCACATTTGGCACAAATGTCACCTTTTATTACAGATTGCTTTGGACTTTTAGCTTTATTGTCGCATTTCGAGCAAATGACGTAAGTCAGGCTATTTTTTGTGCTCTTTTGTGCGGCAAAATAAATACATTTTTCGAGCAAACTCGTTTGCGGCATTCCAACTCATTGTTTCATTCGATTTGCGAAACCCTTTTCCGAGTAAACCCAACTTTGAGGTTTATTAGACGCGGTTCAATCGGGTCGGGGTCGAGTCGAAAACGAAATCGAAATACGTGAGAATCGGATGCGTTGGCCCCAATAAAGATTTGGAGAAAAACTAATCAGATAAGAGAAAAGGGGCATATTAAAAGATTAGAAAACCGATGCACTCGTGTCACGTTTGCGTACTTAAGAATTTCATAGAAAGTTATGACCCCCGAAAATCTGGAAATCATCTCAAGCTGCTCGATGAAAACGAGGCGATAAGCCGCAAATACCTCAGGGAAGCTCAGTAGTTAGTTAGCTTTTGTTCTCGGTAGTTGTCTTGAGTCATCCGATGGATGAGTAATTTTAGAAAATAAATCCTTTCAAATCGAATGCAGCTGCAGCCTGACAACTGCGTGAGTTGCATGAAGTGGGCTATAATCAGCGCCAGACAATTGCACAATTGCTCAATTGGGTGATAAACGTTCCGGGTAATTGCAGCTGACCAAAAGGATACGCAGCCGCGAACAAAGGAGGGCGAACGAAAGACTTAGGAAGCGAACGCGATGACGAAGGGAAAGAGGCCAGAATGCCAGGGCCTTTGGCTCCTGCCCATGCTGCTGTTGCTGGTTGGACAGGTAAGTAAAAGATAATTAGACCACTTTCTGGACATTTCACTTTTCATTTGCATACAATAATGTTCTGCGACGGCCATGAAAACGGGGTTAACTGCCGGCCCTACTACCTCTTTAGCTATCTGACTTCCAACTCTACCATTTTCATGGCGTCTTGGCTCTTTGGTCTGCGGCTGCGGCTTTTCCACGGCAATTTTCCAGGGCAGACAAATTAATGAACTTCACATTGACTGCAGCTGGGGCCAGTTTATCAATAGCAATAGCAATTGCCATCGCCGTCGTCGTGGGGCCACGGTCATAACTATAACTCTGCGGGCAGGCTTAGTGCTCCGATTCCCCGCCTACCCACAGTCATAGTCCAAATGTGCCACTGACCGATATCTTAACTTTTACCCAACTGTGCGCCCCCCTCAAAAACTCGGTCCATTGTTCGTTAGCGCTTCAGGAATTCTCTGGGTTTCGGTTTTGATTTTGGTTTCAGTTCCGATTTGACTTGGTTCGATTTCAGTTTTCCTATGAAATGGCACAAATCTATCATGGTGAGAGTTGCTAGGGCTTGGCATCAATTGAAATTAGTTCAAGTCTGGATTGGGTCGATCCGGGGGATTTTCTGTACTTTTTACGACTGCTCAAACTATCAATTTGGTTTGGTATAGATCAAGTAATAATATTCGCTTACAAACTAGTTCTTCAAGATATATTTACTAAAAAAACTTCAGAGTTTCAAGTGCATTTTTTAGTCATTACAGACCAGCAAAATTCGGTTTCTAAAATGGTTTTTATTGTTCTACAATTAAAACGGTTGTAAAATTGAAGTCTATGAAACAATTAAATAAACATTACTGTCAAAGATGAAAGAAAATCGTTCGGATACCTTAAATACTTTTTGAATGCAAGAAGTGAGGATTTCCTTGGTACTTTAAATACGTGTTTTTTTCAAATATCATAAGCTGTCAATGACTTGTTGAGCTTTTGACTGGTCAAATGGTTTCCTGACTTTTTGGATTTTGAAAATTTGACAAGTTTCGCCCTTGTCGCTGCCCACTCCTCGGACCAAACTGATAACGGGTATGTTGAACTATCCATCGAAGTCAGCGGCCGCTGGGGAAAATGACATCATAAAATGCCGGGTTTCGGGGCGTGGGCGTCGAAATTCGCTCTCTGGGCTTGGCAAACACTCGGCCTACAGCTCGGTTCGAAAGACTTCAAGTACAGAAAAAACAGAAACTACTTCGGCTTTTGGTTTAATGCAAAAGTCAGAAAACCTTGAAGCATACGTAAAAGCAACGGCAAACAAAACGCAGTCTCCCAGGTAATTATCATCTGGTTGGCGATGATGACGAAGTGAGGCAAACGATGATAATGACGACGATGATATAAGTTTACCCATCGCCGCGTCTGGCCAAAAAGTCAGGCAGAAATACCCATGTAAACAACCACTTGTGCGAAAGTAAATTTCGCCGCATGTGTGAGTGTTAATTGTGGGCTAAAATTGAAACTTACGGTACCCGGCCAGCCCGCTTTTCACACTCATTAAACAATAAGTGAACTAGCACCTTTTTCGGTTGGTTTTCGGTTACCTACCGAAAAAGGTTGCTAGCCACAAAGCGATTTAATTTTCTTTTCCTTCGATTAATATGCCCAACGCCCCGTCGACTTGACATAGAGGTGCCCAAAAATAGTCGACGGTTAACTCACTTTAATTGACGCCCTCTTTCGGTGCTAAATATTGACTTGCACATTAGCAAGTGCGTGTATTGTCATTGCCATGTTTTTGTTGTTACGGGCCATTAAAATCGGTTTCAATGTCAGCGCACACCGACAGAAATAAGCTGAAAGCGAATGAAATATGCTAATTCTCGAAGCCATCCGATTCGATATGTATATGAATATATGGCAATCTATACGTAAATGTGTATATAACAAGCGAGCGAGTCTGTTTGTATCGCCATGTCGTCATGGCTTTGGCCTGCCAGCAGCCATATAAGACAACGCGAGCAACCCACCAACAACCAACAGCGATTTACGTTTCGGTATATGAAGTAAAAATTTAAAAAACAACATACAAAAAAAAAAACCCAAACAACCAGCAAGAATCTGGCGTATTTGGCCAGAAGTGACGCTTTGAATGAGACCACAGGTAGCTTGTGTTGCGGTTGGAGCTGTGAGGATAAGGCACATTTTTGGAGTTAACTGCTGTTTTTAACGAGGTAGACGGAGAACTTTTTCAGGCGGGCTTAAGGAAATTTGATCCTAATTATTATAAAAAAAATCTGTACAGTTCCCAAATTAACTGAGCGATAAGTTTAGTCAAAGCAAATATTTCTTAACATGTCCATTAATATTTTCAAGTTATTGTGTTTATTTTTATTAATTATTATAATCATTTTTAAAATTTAATAGATGACTCGGTGGATAAATCTACATCAAATACACTTATATAAAATCAAAACCCATTATTTTTACAAGAACATCAATAGATTTTGTACACCGAACTATATTTGCGAGTATTGCGAATATGGAATTTTGAAGCACTATTGATGATAGGAAGTCTTGTTTGCTCTACAAATACCAATCACGACCAAAAAAAAGACGCTTGCCTAGAGCAGAGAAACTTGAGCTACCCACTTGTTGTGTTTCCCCTGCGAGGGTATCAAAATAAACCGCAAAGCCATTCTCGACTGACAAGCACGTGCTTCACAACGGCTGCCAAAAGCCAATTGAAGTGGCCCACACTGGTCTTAAGTCCCCCGATCCCTCGGTTCTCGGCTTCTACATCTTCAGCCCTGCCGGAATTACTGCTGCGGTTGCTGGCTGGCAATAAAAATAAAAACTTTAATACGCGTATGAATGTACTCAAAAATATGATTCATTGTTTACTCGGACTTAGTCGCGTATATATTATTCCTAGAACTTGAGATGAGCCACCAGCAGCCGACGAGAATTCAGCAGGGAAACTTCTAGCGGCAGCCCAACAAAAGACTTAGACAACAAACTCGTTGATTGTCTAGGCCATTTCATTGAAATTCTTTTAGTTCTTATTTAGTTTTTGTTTCTGTTTCTGTTCTGTTTTACGAGTATGAGCGCTAACGGTTTGTGCCAGTTACAGTTGGTCGGGATGGTTTTATCAAATCGAGCCGGGATTTATTTACTTTTTGTCTGCCGCTGATAACCGCAGAATGCCAATGGATATGGGGGCCTTAAGCCGGGCCATTATGCTCTAATTAACAGAAAATATGAGCAGTCCCGAAGACCGCTGCATATTGACCACAAAATGCCGGGTGCAATGAAGTGAACTGCACTTCTGGCCGGGACCTGGCACTCGTCTCCATAAAACGATCGCCACGCACTGAAGACTGAATACTGGAGACCGGGGCAATTAGAAGAGCAACCAGTTTGGTCACTGCACGCAACGCCAGCTCCGCACTGGGTTAGTAGTATCTATGGTCTAAGAGGTCTGATTCGGATTCTGATTCTGATGTCTGGCCCCCGGACAGGAAGCCGTTGCCATTGCCATTGCCGATGCTCGATGGCCGATGGTCGAGAAGATGTCGACTTGCCGCGACTGGGGCCATTAGATAGAGTGTGCGCAGTTAGTTTCTATGGCTCTTTGGTCATAACTCTCGGGGAGTTGGCCAGTGGGAAATGGCCAGCAAAAATTGCATGTTTATGTCCATGCCAAAAGATTTCAGAACGAAATGGTGTGAGTTTCAGTGGTGACAATTGGGATTTTTTCTCAAGAGGTGTAGTAATCGTATTCATTATTTCCCGGATTTAATTCAATCAGGGACCCTAACTGTTATGAGTTTTATGTTAAAAATCACATTTTAACAGTTATTTTCTGATTTGTAAAGTAAAAGTCAAAGAATAACTGTTATTTTTTTAGTTTTATAATAAAAGTTGTCAAATAACCGTTATTCGTCGTGGTCAAAAATAAAACTCAAACTTGATTTATGGCGATTTTGTGGGTAAAATGAATTTAAAAATAATATAGTTATACAATATGCACGGTTGGCTTTTTTTAAAGATTTTTTGTAAGTTATATAAAACTCGGTTATCATGTTTTTTTAATAATTTCATTTTTTCAAAAATGTCAAGAGAATAACTGTTATACATAAAAATCAACAAATAACTGTTATTTTTGACTTTTATTATAAAAATCAAATAAATAAAAATCATTACGGATTTGTAAACTACAATGGCTTACAAAAGTAATGGTGTATTTCAAAAAATTTTTGGACTCTTCTAAGTGCATGATTTTTTTGGTATGAAAAATTTACAATAACAGTTATTTTCGGTCCCTGAATTCAATATTTATTTTTATAAATAATTTGTTAAATTTCTTTGATTTAATTGAAATAGGGCAATATATATTATTCAAAAATTGCATTTATTTATTTATTTGGTTAAGTTAAAATTTAAAAACTCTCCTACTGGATAATTACTTTTTGAAAGTGGGTACACTTTAATGTTAGATAATTTGTTTTCAAATTTTTAGTTGACACATTTCGACGCAATATGATAACATATTAACTTATATTTATTTATTTTTATAAAAGCTCTAATTTTATAGTTGATTCATACTGTTGGCATCACTACTGAGCTACCCACTAGTTCTGTGAGATCAAAGCAATTCGCTTGGCACATCCGAGCCACTGAGTTGGCGCAATTTAACGCCGCGTTGATCTCGCAGTGCGAATTATTTTGCTCAATGCTGAGCGGATCGGTGTAGCGTGAAATTCATTAAAATTTATGCAAAAGTGTTTGGCATATTGGGTCATCGGTGGTCGGCAGCCGTACTGGCTTAGTACGGAGAAAGTTCTTTCTTTTGTTTGACTTTGGCTGACACTGCCTGCGGCTGGGCCAGCACATGTTCATTATTTGATTAACTTGCATTGTTCACCTGCAGGCTTGCTCTGTTTCCCTGCTTCCCTGGGCTCTCCACCTGAGTAGGTCTGCCCGTCCGCCGTCAGTCGACATAAAAAACAATTTAGCAATTGTTT